CTACAAATAGAAGTGTAATGGTTTTTTTTATCATTCAGCTATAAATACAGCCCTTGGGACTGTCTGCAGATTTTGTTTCTTGAATTACCAAAAGGTGAAGAAAGTCATATTAATAAACATACCAAGACCCCAAAATGTCACCCAAGAAACTCTTAATGTACATTTAGAACCTAACATTGCTTTGAACACTTAAGTCAACATAAGATCTCAATCTTTTATTAAGTTTTATGAAACACACACAAACTATCGGGGTCAATAGAAGACAGTGACAAAATTTTGAAAAAGTTAAGAACAATCTGTCTGTCTATCATTCAATTGTTATAATGTTACTTTGGAGAATTTGGTATTTGTTCATCTTAATTCCCTGATTTCTATTTTTCTTTTTTCTCATCACTTGTCTGCTTGATAATGTATTGATATAGTAAGGCAAAAATTCTATTTTGGTCACTTAAGGGAGGGAAAGGGCTACGACCCACAAAAAGCAAGCCACTCTAAGAAACTGATGATTAAATTAAATTGTGAAGTACAGAAACAGTTCTTTACTTCACGTTGAATCACAGCATAGGAAGCGAAGGAAAAAGGGGTGGGGAAGGGGGGGAGGGCTCGAGCCCGTCCATGAGAAAATTGGGGCGAGGAGGGCTGCTAGCTCAGCTTAAGAGAAGTTTGGCAAAGTATTCATTCTCGTAATCTTTTAAAATCGTTGCATCAGTGTTTTGCGAAATCATAATTAAAAGCGGTTAGCCTTTTTTTCAATTGAACAGTTGCGGCCTGTGTTTAAGTAGCGGACATTAAAAAAATTGTTGAAAATTTTTTTTTAGGGCACTCAAACTGCTGTGTCATCTTTGCAGAGGCACTTGTTAGTCAGTCCTCTTTCAGGTCCTCGTTGTTCAAAGCGAGCTGTAAAGCTTTGGCTATGTCGGCGCACGTGAAATTATACCCACTCGCAACTATTTTTGCAACAGTTTCCATCAGTGGCAAAATAAATGATAAACTAAAACCACGCGCGTGTAAACAAGTTTCTCGAAATCCACACTTGTGTTCGTTTCAAATTTTCAATTATGCAAACTCGCCAGGAAAATAATTTGCTCTAAATGCAGTCTCCAGCCTTTTGCTGTTTAATTAAATAAGGTCATTGATTAAAAGGCTTTAAAGAGTAAAATTGAAAATAGACCGACGGGCCCATTGGTCGATCGATTGGAGCCTCGAAAGCGAAATTGCTCAGAAGGTGACAAATCATGACCCGCCGATCAGGGCTCGAACACGAACATGTCACTCATGAGTTCTGCACGTTATCCGGTCGTTTCTACATCTCTCGTTTTTAAAAATCAAGAGTGGTCATAACTAGAGAACAAATCTTTTGAAAAAAGTCACTGAATAAGACCTGATTCATGGTCATCATGCATGCTAGCTTGAGTCATACATTTCACTCTACTCAGCAGAATACATTTGAGTTGATTACAAACCTTATTCTGTATTCGATGTCTTGCGGTTAAAAACGACATCACCCACGTTTTGAGCATGAGCAAAGAGCCATAAAAAAGATAGGCTGAGAGGAAGCGATCGTCCACAGAAAGAGGCACCATTTTGAAAGCTTGAGACCTTTGCTCTTATGCAACTTTAAACGGGTCTTTCACCGTGCGTGATTGTCACGCAAGGTTATGGATGAGGCCTGGGACTTCTGCATAGATCCAGAGGAACATTTAACGACAGACTCGTGTAATTTTGTCGTCTTTGAAAAATTTACCCGCGCTTAATAACACCAAATACACTCGAAATCATGTTGTTACCTATACAAATTCAGTTAAATCAAACGTATTTTCAGTGGTATTTTCATGTATATTTATTACTCTGTGGTTATTTATTCAGTTAACCCCGATTTACTTCCTCGCGTTTCGCAGCATATCGATGGCCTCCGAAAGAAATCCTACAAGTGTTCTACTGAAAGAATCTTCCAACTTTTATCATCCAGTCGGATAAGCCCGCGCTTAATGACAGCACACTTTTAAACAAAATATCTGAAATATGCTTTCAAAGAATTAGATTAAAGATGCAAAATTCCCAATTCTTCAGATTTACATTTTAACCAGCTTCTGTTCGACGAATTAGCCCACAAATCTTACCTTGTTCGCCATGCGCTGTCTTACGGTGAAAAATGACATGGCAAAAGTTTTGAGCATAAGCGCAGAGCCATACAAAAGATATGCAGACAGGAAACGATCATCAACAGTCAAGGGGACCATTTTGGAACTGGTAGAAGGCTATTCTTGCTGCTTTTGTCTGTGGTTTGTCATGCAAGGTCGCACGTGGGACCTGGTAACAAGGAGTTGGTTCAAAGCTTGCGGGGTACTTGATGACTCGGCAAAATTTTCTGTTGTAAATTTGGGAGTGTTGTTCTGATGGAATCGGTTTGTTTCGAGTCATTTTTTTTTTTTAATTAAGATATCTACAATAAGCCTCGTGCTTGCAACTGCATGCCATCATTGTCATGATGCGTACAATCATTACAGTGATTACACCATGTTAAAAACTGTTTAAGTAACCTATACCTGTGAGGAAAAGTGACTTTGACCTCAAGTTTTACACTATGTCTTACTTATTTTGTGATTTAAATTTTACTTTTTAGGAAAGTCCTGGGTTTCAATGCTGAATTTTTTTTTTCTTGAGAAGCCCATTTTATACACTTTAAAATGACATATTGTAGGTGTTATTCCTGTAAATGTTTGTTGAGATATGAATTAAAACTGAATGTGGACAAATTTTTGCTAATTTTTTTGGAATGACATGGGTGCACATAAAAATTCATAAAAAATTCATTATTTATTCTTTTTCTTTCAGATTTTCAGGAAATGTTGCTGACATGTTAATAATTAACTTCTGCTATCAATTAATCTTAAGTAACCTACACCTATGAGGAAAAGTGACTTTTACCTCAAGTTTTACACTATGTCTTACTTATTTTGTGTTTTAAATTTTACTTTTTAGGAAAGTCCTGGGTTTCAATGATGAATTTTTTTTTCCCTGAGAAGCCCATTCTATACACTTTAAAATGACATATTGTAGGTGTTATTCCTGTAAATATTTGTTGAGATATGAATTAAAAACTGAATGTGGACAAATTTGTGCGTTTTTTAACCAGCAGAAGTAGGGTTAAATCCGAAATAAAATCCTATACGCACTCAACTGGGAAAGGTTTCTAACTCTTACCGTCTAATCAGAAAAATCCTTGGCTTGGAAAGCACAGTTTTTTTTCAAACCAGCGTTGGATATTTAATTAAGTGTTCAGTTATTGGCACCTTTTCGAGTGGGTTATCGATAGTCCCTCAAGTTTCATGCATAATCTCACCTTATTGCCAATGCGATGCCTCGAGGTCAAAAAAGACATTACCCACGTCTTCAGCATAACCATGGCGCCATAAAAGAGATAAGCAGCAAGGAAACGATCATCCATTTTAAGTGTTATCATTTTGGAGCTTGTTGGTCGAAGAGCGGAGGGTAAGCTCAAAGCGAAACACCCCCCGCGAACGACAGAAGCAACGTCTTTGTCACGAAATCACACCACTGTCACGCAATCTTTCTGCTTTACCATTTTTTTTACGTGGCCTATCTTCTGTCAAACTGCATCTTTTTTCATTTTGCAAATGAGATTCAAATTCTAACCATTGGCCATCCTAACTGCAAGGGATTAGCGGCGTGTGACCTCTGGGAGATGAGATTGCGGACCTTCGTCTCTCTTTTTCTGCAGCTTAGCTCCACCGCCCAGATCTTCATAAATTTCACAACACTATCAGCCAAGATGGTTACTTCACGCGTTCTTCTCCCGCGTCTATCTTCCTCGCCACTTTAGAGTTTCCAAGCCAAGGACACATAAGCGAATTGCTTCCAACACGAGACCGCCACTTACTTTTTTCCCATTTGATTGTTTAGCCTTTAACTCCCATGAATGACCAAGACAGAATTTCTCCTTACATTATCAATACAATATCATGCAAAAAAAGTGATGAGAATAAAGAAAAATCTTAATCAGGGGATAAATAGTTGATCCAATACCAAATTCTCCAAACTAACATCACAAGAACTATATGACCGACAGTAAAGAGAATTTCTAATGAGATCTTGGGAGTTAAAGCGTTAATAGATGTTGTCTGCCCATTCGATACGTTCATCATCATTGTCACCGTCACCGTCATCATAACCCACGTCATCATCAAAGTCGTAGTCATTTTCATCGTCATCGTCGCCGTCACTGTTGTTAATACGCTTGCCACTCATTCTAAGATCTCTAAACTTGTAAGTTTCGAAGCCAGGGATACTCAGGTATATCATTTTTTAGCACGACAGCGCCATTTAATATCCTTTTTTTCCCTTTTGATTGTTCAATAAGTGTTTTTTGTCCATTCGATACATTCATCATTATTATAATCATAATCAAAGTGATAGTCATCGTCATCGCCATCGTCATGGTCATCATCATGGCCATCGTCATGGTCATCATCATGGCCATCGTCATCGTCATAGCCATCGTCATCGTTATCGCCATTGTCATCGTCATGGCCATCGTCATCTTCATGGCCATCGTCATCGTTATCGCCATCGTCATCGTCATGGCCATCGTCATCGTTATCGCCATCGTCATCGTTATCGGATCGTCTCGTTTCCGTCATCATCATTGTTTACATAATCTTCACCGTCATTGTCGTCCTCGTCATCGTTATCGACTCCATAGTCATTGATATCGTCCCTATCGTCTTCCCCCTGATAACCATCGTCATCACCGTCATCTTGTATGCCAAAAATAACTGTTCAAAGCTAGTTGAACGCATAAAATGAAGGATAGCCGAGAAATTAATTTTGGACGCACATCTTCTCTAAGAATCAAAGGAAGGTGGGGTTCTCCATCTCCAGTACAGCGCAAAAATAGCTGCTTGGCTTGCAGAGAAGAAAGAGACTGGGAACAAATGCATGCTTTACTGATATTTCTAAAGAGAATGAAAAAAGATCCCTTCAACAGAGGATTCCTATATTTGTAAACAACACTAAAATTTTAAATTTCTTGAAATTAATGTACGAATAAACTGATATAAAATAACACTACAATTGCTATTCAATAGTGTGATGGTTAAAAAAAGTACATAATATTGCTTTTAATAAACTATATTTACGGGTTCATCTGAACACTAAAATACTGCAACACTTAGCCTTAACTTAAACCGTAAGTGCGAAAAAGGCTACGGAATATCTGATGCAAAGGAAACTTCCACAATCACATACCCGAAAGACCTTTATCCTTGTTAATAAGAAGCATTTCTCAATTATGAGATTTCCAAAGTTTGGGGGTTTACATGACCTCTTGTCCGCCTAAGTGAGGTGTCCATTCAATAGCGGGGTGCGTTCGAACTTCGTTTAACTATTGATTTATGCGAAAAATAAAAAAAATCTGCTAGTTTAAATATTCCTCTAGATAGTGCCGTCTAACAAAGTGAGTTGTGCTTCTCCTTCCGGGCAGGTTAAGTGTGCGCATGGCAAATAGGAGTAGTTTGGAATGGGTAAGACTACACGTCATTTCAAGAGTGACAGGTTTCGCTTTCAAGTTTTTCTCTTTCACTCAAAATACTGTAAATCGTTTATCCACGCGTCACGCATGCAAACTTTTAAATAAATATACCCTACTTCTGAGATTAAAAAAAAGACGATTTCCAAGGATAAGCCTATAAGACGTAAAAATTATATTTGGACACTGGCTAATCGTGTTAATATCTTAAAAGGTTCATCTTCTTTCTACAAACACAGTTTTGCTAAACACTTTAGCCTAAGGAGACATCAGCATGTACATTCTCCATACAATGTTTGTGTAATGTCAAACATATCAGGAACATATTGAGGAACTGGTCGACTGGGGAAGGTTGTTGGAATGTAAAACCATATCCTCTTTGTACGCTGGCGAAACTAAGGAAAATTCACTCGTAGATCTCTTACTTTCAATCATAGCCTTACACCATTGGATGTACTTGACTCCAAATGTTTCCTATCTCGAGGAGCAACTAATTCGTAATGAGTTTCTTCGACGTTATCGTCATTTGCGCATGCTTCCGTTGAACTTGTCACCGTGACTGAGATGTTCGCTGGCGCATTACAGACCTCCAAATGCACAGGTCCCGCGCTACCGCTACCGGACGCATTTGACTTGTGAACTGGTTCTGGAATTTCCGCATAATCGTCGCTCGCCGAGGTTTTGGTTATCGGAATAACTGGTTTTAAAATGGTTTCAACAGGTTCGTAGTCGCCTGACGCGGATGACAATCGGTTAGAATCGTCTTGAGGTATAAGCAACTCTGTACTAGGAGTGCGGTCTCTCTGGCCAGCTGTAGCGACTTCATCGTAAAGGTTATCAGTGTTATCTGCAAAAAGAAAGTATAGAAAATACCATAGTAATCATTTCATCTTCGACAATGGCTGAATACTCAAAAACACATCTTGCACGCCGTTTCTCAAGTCATTACATGATTACATGATTTATCGCCCGTCTGATGGTCTGTCTGTCGGTCAGTGAGTCTGTCTTATAGTCTCTGTCAGTAAGTCAGTATGTCAGTCAGTCAGATAGTATGTCAGTCAGTCAGTAAATATGTAAGTCAGTCATTCAGTCTGTCCGCCAGTGTCTGTATTTCAGTCTCTCTGTCTGTCTGCCACAGCCCGTGAATGAAACACTTGACGAACTAAGATTTCGTCTTCTCTACCTGGATTTCTTCCCATTTCAATCTTCATTTGTCTTGACGACACGTACGCAGGGGGTAGGGGTGGGGGATCTTCCGTGTCATGTCTCTCCTCCTCAGTATCTCCGCTACTTTCTGTATCATTACGACGCCTTGTCTTCTTGCTCAAGTCCACTTTTGCGTAAGTATCGTCTCTTGGCAAAGTGGTAGCCTTGTTTGCTTGTGTAACCTCGCCTTTTGCCACAGCCTCGCCTGTTCTTGACCGCACCACATGAACAGAATTGGCGCGTTTGTCCATCTCATTCCTACATCGTTTCAATCCCGTTGTATCACTCTTTGATCTGTTCCTTTCAGAATCTGCGCTGTTTTCGGTGTCTATCATTAACTGGAATACTTCCTTTTTGTCAACGGATGCGTATTTGTGATTTTTATCAACTCGATTTTCTTTTTGTTTCTCGACATCTTCATACAGGTTAGAGACTTCCAAATCATCCTCTTGCATGTCATTTTTTATGCTGGAATAGGGATCTTCCGCATCTTCGAGGGCCTCTGACATTTCTGCCACCTCTTCCTTCAGTTTCAAGTTCTTAATTCTCGAGTAAGGATCTTCTGGATCTTCCTCAGTTTCCTCAGCAACCTTGTCTTCCACGTTTTTCTCATTCGTAGTCTCCTTATTTTTGGATTGCTGCACTTCAGCATACAAATAATCAACCTCGCTCTTATTAAAAGCAACAACTTCGTAATTCCCGCTGTCTTCGCCCATGTCGTGATCAAGCGAAAGAGCCCGAGGTTTTCCGACTTTAACCTGGACAGTGTCATATGCATCGTCGGATGGAGACGGTGGATGGCCCTTCACTCTCTCCATGGACTTTGTCTTACGCACTTCAACAGTCTCATAGTTGTTATCATCTTCCACCTCATCGGGAGCAGAAAAATGTCTTTGGGGAATGGGAACAACCGGAAGTGGAGGCACTGAAGGCCCCGGCGGAAGCGGAAGTCCTCGAGAATGCCGTTCTAGGGTTGGCGTCTTCTCTCGAGGCCTTTCAATGGGACTTTCATGCAAAACGTGTTTTTCGTCTTTATCACTACCCGAAGAGCCCGTTCTGCTCTTTGTTTTTCCAGTTTTTGTCTTCGTCTCTTTAGATTCTTTCCTCGATCTGTGTTTGTGTTCCTCATCTTTGAATACATCAGAGGATCTATCCGTGGCGGAAGTGCTACCACTAATTCCTTTAGCAGACCGAGTTCTCTTCCAGAACCTGCCTTTATGTTCGTCATGTTCATGTTCACTGCCTTGTTTGCTCTTCGAGATTCCAGATTTTGAGCTGACAGTCTTACATTCTACAGTTTCATACTCTGACGACGTAGTACCCGGATGCACAACGTCAACGTCCTTTGGAGACACGTGCTCCGTGCTGGGCGGGCGTGGCTGCGAGTCAGATGTGTGCACGCTAATCGCCGGCTCGGGGGGATGCGTGCTGTTCGGTGGCACGTGCTGCACGTGCTGGACGGTCGATGTACTTTCAGGAAGCTCATTGTCTGAAAGGGGAATCTGTGATGTGTGATTATTCTCCTCCACCAAATTTTGGTCCATCTTTTCAATTGTTCCGATATCAATTTTCGACTCGTCGACGACTTCTTCCTCTGGCTGTTGTTCATCTGGCAGTACCTAGAGACAAAAATAACAGAATAAGAAAAAAACTATGGCAATATTTCCGCAAAACTCCATACTTCAGTATGCATGCAGTTATTTAATTAATAATGTAGATGAAAAGATTAGGCGCGTTTGATTGACTGAAAACGAGTGCATTCTCATGTAACACGAGGGCAAAGTTGTAACACGAGTGCAAATTAAAAATAGCACGCGTGCGCACTGCCAAAATTTACGTCTCTCTTGACTCTATGTGATTTTTTTTTTCATGTACATTATTAACAAGTAACAACATGATTTCTCGTGTAGTAAGCACTTGTAAATTTTTCAAAAACTACAAATTACATTTGCCCTACAGGCTCGTGCAATTTTGTTGTCTTTGAAAAATTTACAAGTGCTTATTAACACCAAATTGCACTCGAAATCATGTTATTACCAATACAAAAGAAGACAATAGTTTACGCGCTGGACACCTGGTTGAGAGGTCTGGGTTTGAAACGTATCCGGTCATTGTGTACTGATCTTGGGCAAAACACTTGAATCTTACGGAGTCTCTCTCCACCAGGAGTAAAAATGGGCCCAGGCAAACTGTCAGGTAAAGCTGACGAATTTTCGGGGGGGGGGGGGGGGGAGGCAATAGCGATGATTTGACTTTTTCTCGCTGGTTCCTCTCAACATTGAAATTTTGTTTAGTTCATCAATCAGTCAAGGACACTGCTTATAGAGTTATGAGATGAGAAGAACAACTTTGACATCAGATGTAAAGTCAAGACTTTATCAAAAGGACGTTCTCTACCTGGCGCCGACTTAGACGTTGTTGGCAAGAGACAAGATGAGGTTTGGCATCCGATCTGAAGATTAAAAGTTAAAATCTTCAGTTTAATCCTTTAAACCCTAAGAATACTGGCATTTAAATTCTCCCAACAATATCATCCTGAATCATACATTATACCTGGCTACTTACAGAGACTGTAGAAGTAAAACAAGATAATTTAATTTATCACCTGAGTGGATATTGTAAATTGGCTTTTGTGAAGAGTTTCAAGCTGACATTTCAAGCATTAGCCCTGCATCGGAGCAAATGGAAAACTGTTAAAATATTGGCTCTGATGAAAAGGCTAAAACTCGAAATTTTAGCTTTAAGACTCTTTGCGGTGGCCAATTTAAATTATCAACTCAGTTGATAAAACAAAATTATCTTGAACTATACTCTCCCACTGACACAGCAGGGCTAAAAATTGGCAGTCACACGGTCACCAGTGGCGAGTTAAAACTGACTAGGGCCACCAAAAGTTAAGGTTTTAATGCCCGATGCGCGACTATGCTACAGAATTTCAAAAAGTTACAATGTAAATGATGTGAATTACAAAGTTAAAAAGAAAACCCAATATGTAGTTTAATTGGACCACCTCTCTCTTCATTTCTTTGCCTGGACTCTAAGATCATCCATTTTAGGGAAGTTTTTAGTCCTGAAGTGGAAATTCTGAGCTGTTTTAACAGTGATTTCATGAACTCGTTCTTTCCTTTTAGTCATCGCTCCATTAAAAGCCATGGGGTGTTTATTCAAGTTTTTCATTTTAAACTAGAGGAAATCAAGGGCTACTTCATTTTGTGATGGGCCACTAAGAATTCAAGGAAACTGGCCTGACTGGCCACCAAGCACTGGGGTTAATTTTTAGCTCTGACACAGCACCACAGTTTTTTTTAAGAAACCTACCCCCTTTCTGCATTTACCTATAGAAATAATCAAGTAAGGGGTAAGCATGCGATAGCCTCTGCTAGCTGAAACATGGCTGACTAGGGGCAGAGTTTACCAACAACAAAAAAGACATTAGTTATAGTATGAAATATTCATGACCTTTAAATTGTTAAATTTGAAAATAAACTTACATTGACACATCATCTTTGTTTTCATTACAATCAGTGCACAGACTTCCAGCCAGAAGAAGAACTGCAATACCAGCTGATATCAGGAGGAGTGGCTTTAGAAATATGCCATCATCATCATCCTTCTGCACATCACCCTGATCAACACTAAGAAGGCTTCTGTGCTTATGCATAACCCCTGAAATCAACAGTACATATCTCTTACAAACTGAGTTTGAGGTCTGTATTGTAAGTTACGCACCATTTTTTTTCTACTGGGATATATGGTTTAAGTGCTAAATGTGCTGGCCATAAATTAGAGCAGAAAAAACAAGGTTTCTAACTTACTATACAGACCACAAAAATGAGGTCAGTAAGACAATTATTTTATCTCTGGGTTAATCTTTTAACTCCCAGATTGAATTTGTAATTCACCTTACTGTAAATCATACAATTCTTATAGTGTTAGTTCTGAGAATTTAGAATTGGATCAAATAATTATCCCCAAATTGATCTTTTTCTTAATTCCCATCACTTATCTGGTTGATATTGTGTTGATATTATAAGGAGAAATTCTGTCTTGGTCACTCATGGGAGTTAAAGGGTTAAAACATAGACAGAAGATTTCAATTAAAAGAAACTTTTGAATTTAGCATGCCATACAGTGAAATACAGCCTGCTAAGTTTATCTAGTATATAGCGCATATACTAAATGAGCAATAAAATAACATTACCCCTTTAATTCCCAAGATCTCAATAGTAATTCTCCTTACTGTCTGTTATACAATTCATATGATTCTAATTTGGAGAATTTGGTATTGGATCAACCAATAATCCCCTAATTGATATTTTTCTTTATTCTCATTACTTGTCTGCTTGATATTGTACTGATAGTGTAAGGAGAAATTCTGTCTTGGTCACTAGTGGGACTTTAAGGGTTAAAAAAAACATAGAGAAATGTTTATTCATAAGTCAATAGCCAACTGTTAGCACCCTAAAATACAATCTATAGCGTGTGCAGCTGGAAAGATGAAATCATCTTTAGATCATCTGGATCAATATCATTATCTGGGCAACTGCCAACCTACCCATCCCCTAACTCAACAACAGTCAATTGACAACAAGTTAGGGTTAACGTTGGGTTAGGGGAGCGGTAGGTGGGCAGTTGCCCAGATACTGATATTGATCCGATCATTTTTGGTGAATAACCCTTCACCCCTCTAACATTGGCATTCGTACCCTCCATACTGTTCTCACTAAATTACTTTGGTACTGACAAGGAGAATTTGTTTGATAATCAGAAGCTTCTTAAATTGGTGATCATTTCCATTATTCCCATCATCTTTATATTTGATTCAGGGGTAACACTGTATGGAGAAATTAGATATCAGTCACCCTTTAGGGTCTAAGGGATTATAATCCACTTAAATATATTTTTCTAGATCTCATTACTTCTCTGCTTGATATGGTATTGGTAAAGTAGGGAGAAATTCTGTCTTAGAAAAGGTTGTGGTTATTCATTGCAGTGAATAACAATAAAAAGCTAAGTTTTTCGTTTGTCTCACGATGTAGTCACATATGATGTAGATCGTGACGTTTTGACTGCATACTGCTAGTCTTCTTCAGGCAACGAGGTCAACTGGTCATGAGTGACCAGTCACGCATGACCAGTCAATACAATACAATATTTATTTGCCATATACGACATTTACAGATGGAAAAAAAAAAATGAAGAAAATTGATGACAGAAAATAAATGGCGAGAAAACCTGAAAGAAACCACGAGGCTTATAACAAGTCAGGCTTTCTCACTTAAAATAACTAATCTTATATTAGAATTACAATATGGACTTATGGTAATTAACTTTGACCGTGCACACGTACACACACACGCACGCACACACATATTAAGTAAGTTAGTTAAGAATTACTGCCTTACAGAAGTTAATACCTAGAGAGAAGAAATTCCTTAAGCTTTCTTTTAAAAGAAGCGGAGGAGGGCCTCACTCGACCTTATTGACTGAAGAAGACTAGCAGTATGCAGTCGAACCGTCGCAATCTACATCACACGTGACTACATCTGAGACAAACGAAAAACTTAGCTTTTTATTGTAGATTCTGTCTTAGTCACTTTTAGGAGTTAAAGGGTTAAGAGCCCTCCTCTAAGCCCCCTTACATCTTAGGCTCCCTTTCTTGAGAGAGGGCCTCCAAATTTAAACAAAGGGGGACCTTTGGACCCTCTTTGGCCAATTACCAGAATAACACCTCAAGTAAAATTGGAGTTGTATTGTCACAATACACAAATGAAATACCAGGCGTGCTCTGATTGGTCAAAAAATGTCACTTAAGGTTCCAGTATCTGGAGAGTCTCCGCATGCAATGATAGACTAATTCATTTTGACTCAGTCATGTATCTTTTCAGACTCCTTACATACTGATAAAAACTGAACAGCATGGGAACTTTCATTTATTTCATTTTCAACATGATGGAATGTGACCAGTCAAACTGACTAGCAAGATGAAAGGTTGACCAGTCAAATCCCCAATCAGTGCAGACATTGTTCTTTGACCCACCATTATTTCGAGCCCTGATTAAACCAACAGGAAACTGAAAAATGAACCTATTATACCAACAGGAAACTGAAAATCAAATTTACCTATTATTTGTTTACACATATATACTGTATCAACCCACTCAAAAACGAATTCATGACTCAATTCTTCCGAGACTTTGCAATATCCTGGTGGGTTTTTCTGATTGAAACTGACAGAAAGCACTATAAAGGTTATAAGATTTTGATTCAATATACGTTTGCATATATTGTAAACAGAATCCAATATATATATATTTATAAATGTATATCTGTGTATAAAAGCGTGTATCTGGATGGCAATGAAAATCGCTAATCAATATATTAACATGAAACTCTTAAGAACAATGTCTTTCCTTCGCCTGGCAGAAAAACGGGAGCTAGAATCGTGCAAACTCACCTTTTTTCGATGATGGAAAGCGAATGCAACCATGAAACTTCCGGTTTGCGCAAACAATTTGAATAATGGAATGCACATCGTCCGAGAGTCGTCCTCGATCTTTTTTGTCAACAAAGATCTGAATAATGCAAACAACAAAATACTTCTGGAATAATCAGTTTAAAGAGAAAAGTAAACTATGATAATAAGTCGTGATGCACATTCTTGCCGATGCAGTATACCATCAACTCAATTATATGAGTTTCCGTTTGAGAGGATGGATTTAAACGTAAGTGGGGACAATATACAATTTTCCGCCTCTTGCTAAAAATACATTACGTATGAGTGATCGCATAAATGAAAGTTGATGTAAGGAAAACATACCCTAAATTATGCTAATCCAAGTAGGATGAAACGTTAGAAGCTATTTTTCAACGGTAAATAAAGTAGATAAATTTGAAAAGGAATGATTTCATACCCTAAGGAGCTCGGGATTGCCTTCTGTTACTCGAACTTCGATGCGGTCGAATGATCTTTTTTCATTTCCTGTAAGCTTCTTCCATTGCGCAGCGCCATCCCTGAACTCCAGATCGCATTTGGTGCTATTAGCAACCACTGTTGCTGTATCCTTGTAAATCAGTTCTAAAGCAATGCGTGAATATTCTTTACTGGCGGCATTACGCCCGAAATCCAAGCCGCATAGAGTACTTCCGTCAAATCTTTGTTCCATAGGCATTCCAGAGACGGACGGCATCCATTCACTTTCACCGAAAAAAATCAAGATGAAAATCACCCAACAGAGCTGGAAACACCTCATTTTTGTCTTCAACCGCCAAAATGTAACTTTGATTATATTTTACAAACAGAACCATGCGATCTGAGTTGGAAATCTTCACGCGCTTGCTTCACTACCGTTTGCCATCTTTGTATTATGACTACGCTAACCGCGCCGACCTGGTAATTAGCAGACACTCCTTATATCCATGATCACTTTCGGTCACGCAGCACATGTTTCAAAGTTTTCAAAATGTCGTCTGCTCCAAGTTCTGCCGAGTTACTTCATGTTGGAGGTGAAAGAACCACCGGAGAAAGCATACGAAACCAAAATGGTAAGACAGAAAGAAAGAGGTGGAATATATCTCTGCTCGGATGTATTTATTTTTTATTTTCTTTGCAGTTACCGCTGTTACGGCGATCGCAAACATTGTCAAGAGTTCCTTAGGTCCTGTTGGCCTTGATAAAATGTTGGTCGATGATATTGGGGTAAGATTTCTCTTCAACGTTCACTTATTATGTAAAATTTATCAATTATTAGATATTTTGGCCTTTAAAAAGTAGATTCAACGTGAGAGGGAGGCTGCGTAGAAGTTCGCGTACGTTTCTTACAGCTGATGCAGCAGTCTTCCTTAAAATAGCTATGTTTGACAAATTACTGAAGTTTGCCGGTTCAGTACACTACCGTGGAACATGTGTACTGTACTGTATAGGCGAATATTAATTTGCAACATATGCTCCAAGTACTTTAAACAACTTGAATGACTTCAAAGAAAATTTCATTGAGACCTGTATTTCTAAATACTTATTCAAAGGGTTTTTTGCAACTTTATTTCTATATTCAATCGATTGACTCTCTATCCACACCTGTGCCTAGTTGTTCGAAGGCCGATTAGCGCTAACCCGGGGTTAAGTTTTAGCCTGGGTTTCTTTATTCCCTTCTTTAAAGGCCTATTTCACATAATTTCTTCAATTCCTTTTAGAACATTCAGACATCAAATTGTAGGCAAAAATAAATATGCTGAATATTCTTTTAAAGCTTTCAGATCTGAGGTCAGATTTCACGCTAACCCTTGGTTATCTTAATCTAGCTTTGAACAACTTGGCCCTGAAGATTGAAAGCTTGCATAATTTTCCTATAGCAGATACAGTAGTCTTCCTCATGCTGCGCTTTTACTACAATTTAAGTTGAATCTTTTTTTCAGTACAGACGTTTCACCTTTTATATTTTGCTTTTTTGCACACTGACTCCCTTAAATTCTGTGAACTCATTCTTAAGATACAGTTGGTCACTTAACAGGAAAGAAGAAAAATTGAACAAAACTATGGACGGTTCCTTTGGATTTAGGCATTATAATTTAATAATAAATTCCTTCTCCATCATTTGACTAACCCATTTTTTGGCAAAGGTTACAAACGAAAAAAAAATCTTGGATAAACTGGTGAGCATGTTACATCAGAATTAGGTGATGAAAATAATTAGAGAGGGAACATGCACATCCTGGATTTTCCTCAACTCAATCTCTCTTTACAATTTTTTTTTTCTGTTCCCCTTTTTTTTTTGGTTCAACCAACCAATGCACTTTGAAAAGAGGGAAGGGAATGGAAGAAAAAACTTGGCCTAATTCAGAGATATTTTTGTAGGATGTTACTGTGACAAATGATGGAGCCACAATATTGAAGCTGTTGGAAGTTGAGCATCCTGCAGCCAAGGTTCTCTGCGAGCTGGCAGACCTTCAAGACCAGGAAGTTGGAGACGGAACAACCTCAGTAGTTATACTTGCTGCAGAATTTCTTAGAGGAGCAAATGAACTTGTGCGTCAGAAGATTCATCCTACCTCCATCATTAGTGGCTATAGATTGGCTTGCAAGTAAGTGCACAGGGTTTTTATGTTCTTCTTCAAATTGGAGACAGATGCCAACCATTTTGCTTTCTTCAGGGGTCTGGTTTTCTCAGTGTTTTTCCCCCTTTTTTTGTGATGAAAACTATATTTCTGGCTTCAAGTTAATGATTTTAGTGTGCCAAAAAGTTAACAAGAAGCCTAGATCCTTTTCCCTTAACCCTTCAACTCCCAGAAGTGACTGACATGTAACTTCCCCTTGCCATTCCAATAAGTTATCTTGTAAACAGGATATGAGAAGAGAAAAGCTTAACAGATAAGACCAAATTCTCCAGTCTTATTAACAAGGAAAATTATGACAGTATGAGAGTAGAATTACTTGTTGGATCTTGGGTGTTAAAGGGTTAGTTTGGATTTTGTTCTAGTTTAGATTCTTTATGTCAGTGAATTTACCTCTATTCCTTTAAGTCCTCAGATTTGACAGAAATCCTCTTCAATTCTTTTCAAAATGTTTGATGTAAGGGTGGTATTGTAAGAAGTTATATAATAAGCTCAGTTATGCACGCATTCTGATTGGTTCTCACTTATGGTCTATTGGAGGACAGACATATAGATGACGTTATCATTAAAACTTTTTTTAATTCTTTATTATATAAAAAACTAGATTCCAAGTTGCTGTGCGTCTGTTCAGTAATTGATCACAGAGGACGTCAAAATGTGGTAAGAACATCAGTGACACACTATGCTGCGCCTTGTATGCCACTTTTTTGTTCTTACCACATTTGACATCCTCTGTGATCTATTACTGAACAGACGCATGGCAACTTGGGATCTATTTGTTAATTACATGCCAGGGTTAAGTACAGACTTTCTTATGTGATTGACATCTTGTGATTAACTTTCAGGGAAGCATGCAAGTACATCCAGGAAAATTTGACAATTAATGTCAGTGAGCTTGACAGAGAAAGTATTGTGAATGTGGCTAAGACATCATTGTCATCAAAGTTGATTGGCCAGTCATCAGACTTCTTTAGTGAGATGATTGTCAATGCTGTCACTGCAGTGAAGCGAGCAGGAAATAAGGGTGAAGCCAAGTATCCAATCAAGGCTATTAATGTGTTAAAGGCGCATGGAGGCAGTGCACAGGAAAGTGTACTGGTGGATGGGTATGCTCTGAATTGCACCATTGCATCTCAAGGTATATAATACAAAAATTTCTCATCAGATCTAGGATTGCAAGGGATTTAAAACTTCTTATAGCACAGGGCGTGAAATTAACTTTTTTTTCTGATAGCCACTTGGCTCCTAAATTCTTCAAAGTGGTAGCCAATTCAAAAAAAGTTGGTCACCATTTTCAAAGACAAACAAAATCTTTCTTTACGCTGTCAGCGTACTAGATAGGCCCTCCAAAATTAAGTTAGGGAAAAGATCTTTAACGTGCTACAAAGTGGACACTAGGATGGATGATATACAACATTCAGGCTCATCTAAATCCAAGATGGCGTTTAGTTGTCAATCGAGATGCATGTGTTGCGTTTTGGAAACAAACTTAACGAGGAAGTTTGCCGCGGATTTATCTTTGCAAATTTTTAAAATTCTCTATATCTCTTGGTAAGGTTACAATGAAACGTTCTAGTTGCCAATTTGGCGACTAACTTTCAGGATTTGGTCGCCTGTATTAGGCACAATTTCACGCCCTGTAGCAGAGCTCACAAAGTGTAGCCCTATAATTATACAAACTAATAGTAACCCATCAAGTCCAAAAAATTTGGATGTATGACCGTACGACTGTACAAGGTGCTACTTTTAACATGCATGGTCAACTGTACCACAGGCACACCAATGCCACAGCTTTGTCCAGTAGTCCAGTGGTCAGTGCACTGGGCTCAGAGTCAGATGACCTGGGTTCTAGTCCTGGCTGGGGCAAGATGTTGTGCCCTTGAGATGTGTGGGGGGAAAAAATGCTAGGTCCACTTTTAGGCTTAGCTAAATCTATATATTATTACCTATATGTATTGTATCCTTGTATACCTTTACATAAGTGGAGATTACTCCTTGGATTAGGTAATTGAAGCTTGAAGAATTTGGTGGAGATTTTGGAATTATAATGTGTTGGGGGTTTTTTATTTTCAGCCATGCCTAAACGAGTGGAAAATGCTAAAATTGCTTGCCTGGATTTTAGCCTTCAAAAAGCCAAAATGCATCTAGGAGTTAGTGTTGTTGTAGAGGATCCTGAGAAGTTAGAAGCTATAAGAAAAAGGTGGGTTGTCCTCTGCCCATGAGGACATGACTTATATCTTTCTTGTCTTGTCAAGATGTTTTTATTTACATGATAAACTACTATTCCAGGCCTGGAGAAAAGTCTGAAATCCAGCCTGCACATAAGCATTGGATTAATTTGTGATGTTTCTGGGGTCTTACCCTGTTTTGGCATGTGAAAGCAAATGTTACTTGTTTTGGACAATCAGAAATAATTTTTCCCAAGCTCTGTATTTAACATTTGCTTCTTGTGAGAGGGAATCCTCTTTGACCTTGAAAAGAAAAAACTTCAAAGTTCTTGCTATGTCCTTAGCTGATTCCTTCCAGGAAAAACTAGTGGGAACCTGTTCATATGGACCATTGATATACAAAAGGAAGGGAAGTCAGAAAAAAAAACTTTTTTTAACTACTGACAGCAAAATTGTATTCAATATGCAGAGAGGCAGACATTACTAAAGAACGTATCCAGAAGGTTCTTGGAGCTGGAGCCAATGTTGTGTTGGTCAGTGGTGGCATTGACGATCTCTGCCTCAAGTACTTTGTAGAAGCTGGTGCCATGGGTGTCAGGCGATGTAAAAAGGCTGACCTTAAGAGAATCGCAAGGGCTACAGGAGGTTAGTTTGTCTAGGAATTGAAATTATTTTGCACATCGGCATTACACTTTCCACTGTATGATATTTTGACATTTTAGGCGTCATCCATCCGCACAAACGGAGGAGGGTCTGGGTCGGGTAGCGTAACGAACGTATTCTCCGCGTGACCCGCCCCAGACCTCCCACGTTTTCTATTTCGCTCCCTTTTACCGAGAGGGTGGCAAAGGGTTAATACGTGAGGTGTGATTAAGGCAACAATTTAATTTGAAAGGCGAGCGTGATTCGTGAATCTATGAACAAAAGTGAGACGTGACCAGTGAATTTTTTCTTCCATTTTTGAAAACCTCAATTTTTCTTAGAAAGTCGCACACAAGACAAATAGTTGATGTTTCCTTTTTAAATTCGCGACGCATGAAATGCTTTTTCAAGTATCGTGACGCGTGAAATGGAGTCAGCACCCCGCCCCCGCCCCCACTTTCACCCCCTTCCCCTCCCCCTTTGCTACCCTTAACTATCTGAACCATTGGAACAGGATACTAACCTGTTGGTTGGCCTGTTTGTATCCTAGCAACTATGGTGCTGACCTTGGCTAATCTGGAAGGTGAGGAGAGCTTTGACGCCAGTATGCTTGGCTCAGCAGACGAAGTTGTTCAAGAACGAGTTTCTGACGATGAGTTGATTGTTATTAAACGGTAAGGGAACAAGCCCTGTTGTACTGTTTAGGTGTTAGTTTGTAAATCTTACTTAGAGCATAGAGATGTGCCTGGTTAAGAAAGCCAGCAAAAATCGAAGATAATAACAACAGTGCTGCAGTCTAGGTAGGTTGCGAAAAGGCTCTCGTTATTAGCACTGCAGGACGCGCGTTTCCCGCCCGCGGGAAGATTGGAGACGAGTCAGAGAGACGTATACCAGGGATCTGGCACTGCAGACGTCTTGCAGGTTTGTTTTGCTTGAAGCCTTCATATTGTCCCGCGAGCGAAGAAACACTCGCACTGAAACGAGTGATAATGAAGGCCTGCTCGCTGGTAAATTAAAAGGGAATTTTAATTTTTTATGGTTTTGTTTTTAATTTGGTTTTTTTCCTTCAGACCCAAGGCTCGTTCAGCGTCCTCGATTATCCTCCGAGGTGCCAATGACTTCATGTTAGACGAAATGGAGCGTTCCATGCACGATGCCATCTGTGTGGTAAAGAGAGTCCTCGAGTCCAAAACAGTTGTCCCCGGGGGAGGGGCAGTGGAGGCGGCTTTGTCGATCTATTTAGAGAACTTTGCTACGTCACTGGTGAGGAGAAAAACCTTCCCCTTCCATTGCATCTTGTCTTCATTCTTTGCTGTGATAGCCTGCAGTGCAGACGTCTTATAAGAGCTAGTTATCGTTAAGAAGCTCGCAATCGTTTATTCAACCGGCCATGTTTGATTTGGAGATAGAGACGGTGGGGGGAAGGGGGCGGGGAAAGGAATCTTCCCTCCCCAACCCCTTTCCTTCTTTTTGACCGTCCACCGTCCCCTTGGTATAAATTTTTTCTCTCCCCAGCCTTCCGCTGTCATTAAAATAAATGGTGGCGGTCATACGGTAATTCTCGCTAAGAAAATACTAAGTACTTCCTCGCCAAAATTACGCCAGCTCTGCAGGCTATTGCTGTGATTCTTTATGGTTAATATCCGTCATGATCTGCTTTATAATCAGGGATCTCGAGAGCAGTTGGCCATCGCTGAGTTTGCCAACTCACTCCTTGTTATTCCCAAGACACTGGCAGTGAATGCGGCTCAAGATTCAGCCGAACTTGTGGCCAAACTCCGCGCGTATCACAACACGTCGCAAATTAACACAGAGAGAGCCTCCTTCAAATGGTATGTATTTTATAACAAAAGTTATAAGAAAATCTATCGGGAAATTTCCGTAATCGTCCCTAAAAACTTTTCAACGGAATTTCGCCAGAACGCAAGCATAATAATGGCGATTTCTAAGGCACGCACACTATTTCAATCTTCTCTCTTTGGTTGGCACATGTGTGATAACTGCAAAGGGGAAAGTTACGCTCAGAAAGTAGCCGGTCAAACCGAAAGGAAATTGCTTCAGAAAACCGCCATGTAGAGCCACATTAAAAAATAAAAAAAAAAAACCAGCTATACATGAAATTGCTATTTCTCAGATTTCGTTTAAATGGTCACAAATTAGTGTTAGGGTGTACACTGCAAAAATCATAGCGTAAGGCAAAATGAGAATTACCCAAATACAGCAAAACAACGGCTCAAAGAAACAGCTGTACCTCGTAAAAATAGTTGGTAGTTTTTAGGTATTTAACCCCTCAACTCCCAAGATCTGATTGTTAATTCTCCCCTCTAGCTGCAACACATTTCCTTGTAAATAAGTCACGAGAATTTGATGTTAAATCAAGGCTACCAGCTTCTACCTGATAAGTTTGAGTATTCTTATTACATGTTGGCTGGATAATGTGTAAATGTTACGGGGAGAAGTTACATGTTGGTCACTTATGGGAGTTAGAGGGTTGATCAATGTCTCTTTTTTTTTTTTTTCCTCTCATGCTATCCAGGATCGGTTTGGATCTGATTGAGGGCAAAGTGCGAGACAATTTAAAAGCAGGCGTTCTAGAACCTTGCATCAGTAAAATCAAGTGTCTTAAATTTGCGACAGAAGCCGCCATTACAATTCTTCGGATCGACGATATGATTAAATTGAGACCGGAGAAAAAGGAGGAGAGTGCATACGGGCAAGCCATGCAGCGCGGAGAACTGTAAACAAATGGATATTATTAGGAAGACTATAACTTTATTAATTTGCGATTCTGATATTTGATTTGCCAAGAGATAAGCACGGATTCCCTGCAGTCCTGATCTCAGCTTCTTGGATGGTTTGCCAAGACAAATGAACACGATGACAGTTGTTAGATCGTTGAGGTGTTGAAGCTCACTGTTGCTCGGTAAATTTTTGCCTTCCCGGGTACGTGACTGTTTTTATCCAATCAAAACGTGCGGGCACACTTGAAAAGCATTAAGGGTACGTACTTGTTTTTGATCGGTCAAACAAGAAAAAAACTTAACGCTAAAGCTGTCGATTAAAAACTGTCGGGTAACATCAGGTTCCTTCCTTGCGTCGAAGGGAGATGACGTAAAGCTGCTCTCATCGAGTGCTAACTTGTAAGGAATGAGCAAGTCCTTCAGTGAGTTTAGTGTGTTAAAGTGGAACGAATTAAAGGTTTCAAAACGCTTTGTGATGATCCTTTTTCTGTTATTCACAAGTGCCCTCCCCCCACCTCCAAACCCGCGTTGTTCCCCGACTCTACTTCCCCCTCCTTCGCCCCCTTTCCCCACTCTCCCCCCTCGTCCGTCCCCTTTCCCCACTCTGCCCCCTCCTCTGCCCCCTTTCCCCACTCTGCCCCCTCCTCCGCCCCTTTCCCCACTCTCCCCCCCTCCGCCCCCTTTCCCCACTCTCCCCCTCTCTTCCGCCCCCTTTCCCCCATCTCCCCCCTCCTCCGCCCCCTTTCCCACTCTCCTCCCTCCTCCACCCCCTTTCCCCACGCTCCCCCCTCTTCCGCCCCCATCTTCCGCGTCTCCTCCGCTCAACTACACATTGAGGAGTTTCCTTTTATTCCGCATCAAGGACGAGGTGAACGTCAAGGTTAACCTCCAATAACAAGTATATTTACTCATTAGGTGTTTTTAAGAGTACATGCACCCTAAATGGGCGAGGATTGCGTTATATCGTTATAATCATGCCGCGCGAGGAGGTTGTAGCAGAGGCGCTGAACTTTACTTTCTGAACCAGCCACACCTGACTTCGTTTTAGAAATGGTAATCCTTTTTAACCTTACACACCCTAACACCAATGTGCAGATTCTCCTTACTGTTCTCCATTCACTTCCTAAGGTGCGGACGAGGAGAATTTGTTTAACAATCAGGAGCATCTTTAGTTGCTGATCATTTCCTTTATCCTCGTGACACTGATGTTTGATTCAGGGATGTTACTGTAAGGGGAAATTTGAAGCTATTCACTCTTGGGGGCCAAAGGGTGAGAACTTCCTTGCAAACAAGTTCCTACAGAGTATCTCTCGTCATTCAGTCTTTGCTTGAATCATGCGCAGTTTTATAGAATGACCACGTGATTTACGTCTCATTGAGACCCCGATCATAGTCTCTGTTCTTTGATGCGTGACAAGTTGGAAGTAAAGAAAGGAAATAAAATTTTCGTTTTTAATCTGATAATCACCCGAGCAATTATACTAAAACTATTCGCTTCAGGCTCAGTGAATAATTGTTTATTAGGTTTGTGTTGCTCGGAGAGTCAGAAATGGCTAACAAAGTATTTAGGACGTCGGTAAATGCTAATGAGGCAATAAAAGCGGCCAATGAATTTGACGGAGGACTAATGGATAGATTCATTATTCGGTAAATACATTTAGCATAGTTTGCAATTGAAGTCTTAAATGAAATGAGAACAGATCAATGCACTCTGAATCTTACCATTTTCGGCAGCGTTACTTTTCGTCAGGGAGCCTGAGTAAATTTATGTTGCGGTGGTTCTTACGGTGAGTAGAATCACATAGAGGTGTTATATCTTCAAATGTTGGATCGCCTATTGCCTGGGTTGCTACGATAACCGGTCTGTAGATCATGATTATTTTGAGTCCTTTTTCGCGTCATTATTAGAAAGAAACTTCATAAAAAATAGTTTGCCAGAGTAGTTTACCAATGAGGAACTAAGTAAAACCAAAAAGGGGTCAGCATTGTTACGGTACTGAACAAAAATCAACGTGGATTTCTTTAACGAACCTGAGGTTCAGTTTTCCGGACTGTTCTGTAATTCCTTTTAGGTTTGGCAAAAGTCACACCAAGGGCTATATCTTGTATGAACAGAGGTTCTATTCTCTCATTGCAACAAAGCTAAAAGCGAGCCGAGGTCAGCGCACCTTCAGCGCTGATTGACAGAGTTAGCGTTATGGATGACCAGAGATTCTCTGAAAATCTGCAGGTGCTGTCATGCCTCCATTTTCGATTTTCAAAGCGCGTTTTTCTGGTGGGGACCATTTTGTGCACGCAGTTGAGAACAACTGCACCAAGAAATAATTGAAATATCGAAGGCATAGAAGATCTTCTTTATTTATTTAGCAATTAAACTTAACACTTCTCAGATGAGCTTATTGCAGACGACAAATTTTTTATTCCACTTACGATTTGTTCGTGGGCTTAGTAAACTGCACAATATGCTTAAAAATGGATAATTGAATACGAACTAGTCGGAATTTTCTAGGTAAGTTCTTCTGGTGAATATTCATGGTTTAATATTTGCATTATTTGACAAAACTGTTGACGGGAAATGGCTTTTCTGAGAAACAGCAGCTGCACCAACGAAAAATGTGTTGAAGATAATTGCTTTGGCCCATGTCAACAAAATGGTGTTTCTTGGCAATAGGAATCACTTTATCCCAAACACAAACGCACGTACAATGGCGAATTTTTCGGTCATCTTTGAGTTAGCTGTATAACGAATACTGATCGTCATTATTTGTGCAATTTAATTCTGCCCGTTGTTTATTCGTGAGCACCTCTTTATCTCGTGGTTTTATGTCAGTCACACTATGAGGTTCAGGTATGAACTTGAAATTCGCTCTAACTCCATTCGGATTTTGTTCGAAATTATGTTTTCAATAAAATGTGGAGAATTGCTATTGTTAAACTGTATTTTACCGTAATTGAAAAAAAAGTGCAACACTATGATTGGGATTTGCATCAATAAATTTTACTGTGCTTTTATAGGAAAATATCAAAACCTCGAAAATTCATTCGTGGCTCCATATTTCAATATTTTGGAATTGAATACCTTCTAAAACTAGCAAAAATCAGCATTTTATTAGTTTTGTCGTGCAAGCATGACATTCAGATCAAATGTTTTGGAACACATCCATGAAGGCACGTCTTTAAATTATGTAAAAAACTTTTTCATAATTTTTTTTATTTGTATAAGTTTTGAACCAACAGAGCTCTAGTGACACTTCGTTTTCACCCCGTTTAATTCTTGAAGAAAACCCCGTTTAAAATAAATGCAAAATAAGATATATAAAAAGAGATTTTGTAAACAGAAAAAGACAATAAGTTTTTGAGCTCGGTAAAGAAATAGGGAGATATGTTTTTTTCGTCTAATCACGAGCGTAGGACAAAGAAAAAATTCTGAATCCTCATGAGGAATCGAAACCTCAGGATTGAGGTTCGATTCCTCTCAGAATTTTTTCTTTGTCCCGCGCTTGTGACAAGGCAAAAAATGTCTTTCTTCATAAAAGAAGTTTTGTCACGCAAGCATGACAGTCATTTGAAATGTGTTTGGACACATCCATGAAGGCGTATCTCTAAATCGTGCCAGAATTTTGTTTCGTTTTGTTTTGTTTTGTTTTTCATTATTTTTTAATTATAAGTGTTTTGTGCTAGGCTAGCTGAGTTCTACACTTCGTTTTTTCACCCTGTTTATTCTTGAAAAAAGAATGTTTGGAAGCAAATGCAGAATGAATTATCAGTGTGAAGCAGAAATTATCTCCAGTTATTGATCCTCGCATTATTTGATTTCCTCAGTTTTGAGGCGCGTGTTTGCTATCGGCCTAATAAATCACTTAAGATGTCTCCTTTTCAAAACTTTATCATTTCAGCCGTCAACCTTTCGTCTGGGGTTTTGTTGCTATAACACCTAAGCTGTGAAACTGTCTAGTCGGCACCAAGCTCAACTGCACCCTGGATAACTGTAGTCGTTTGTGGCAAGAATTTTGTGAGAAGGCTTGATTGTAAGTGAAAACGGGAGTAAGTTCTGAAGAAACTGTGGCGGGGTCGCACAAGATAATTTGGTTTAATCAACTGAATTGATTATGAGAATTGGCCACCATAAAGAGTTCCTTAAGCTGACGTTTCGAGCACTAGCTCCTTATCTGAGCAAACTAGGCGAAATAGCCAGCTTATCTTGTAACTGAAAATACTTTCACTGCATAAAGTGAATAAAACGGGCAAGGTTTCCCTAGTCGATGAAACAAATGGAAGAATTGTTATCTTTCTCGCGCATTATTAACGGTTGAAAATCAGATTTATGTACACGATTCGTCTATATCCGAATATTCGGCCAAGCACCTGTAAGGAATTCCTGGGAAGGGGGGGGGGGTGGGGTGGAAAGGATGGGGTGGCTGGGTTAACCTCTCTTGTAATTTGCCTACATCTAAACAGCTTGGCATATACTGACCACATCCTGTAGGTTTTACGATCGATTCACAATTTCTCTTCAATAAGCATTATTTCTTTTGTGAATTAGCTACGAAAATTCGATGTTTTATCATGGAGATATGGACATGTAGCTTCGTGACTCAGTTGGTATTTGCGCCCAGCTAGTATCTGAGAGGCATGGGTTCGAGTCCTGTCGAAGCCCGTTTTTTTTTTTTCTTTCAGCCGGCTTTCCTGCAATATTTTTTGCTGCAGCTCGCTTGCGACGATCATTTCTCTTCTCATTTCTGATATCTCTCTCAGTTCACAGGTGAAGAACATGGAGGGAACACGTCTTTCGCCTAACCTGTCTTCAATCAATCTCTCTCTCCTAAACAACACAGACACCACTCGAGCCTATGTGTTCGTTCCTGCAAGTAGCACTACAAAGCTTATCATTTTCCTGCTACTGGTTGTCGTCGGAACAGTTGGATTTATCGGAAACAGCCTTATTTACTGCTTCATATCTACTAAGAGCAGAAGATTTTCTTACTTACAGTCGTCAATGTTCGTCAGAAATTTTAATTTCTACGTAAAGAGCCTAGCTCTGTCTGATATACTCTCCTGCTCGATCTCTCTTCCCCTGATTTATATTCAACTTATGTTTGATGTGTTCCAACAAGGTTGGCCTTGCAGGATTGTTCGTTACCTAAACTTGCTGTTCCCTTCAGTTACAATTAACAACTTGATAGTCATAAGCACGGAGAGGTATTTTTCAACTCGACCCATTCCTCGCTCTTTCAGCGTCTCGTGCGTTCGTAGACTGATTTTTAGCGCATGGGTTGTAGGTTTCACTGCGGTGATTGCTCCAACTTTCACCTTCAATGGCGTAAGATTCGATCTGGAAAACAACCGTTACACAGTCGTTTGTAAAATAGACAACACTTACTTGCCTTTCAGAGTGATATTTGTGAGCTATGCAGTACTTCAACACGTTCTACCGAGCATAATTTTAATCTGTATTAATATTTCACTGATAAAAACCGTTTGGAGCAGGAAAAGAAGCCGGCTTATGAACATTCAGATGAACAACGCTATTCGGGCGAAGCTCAGAGCTGCTAAACGGCGAGGGACATATCTACTGATTCTGATAACATTTGCCTTCATAATTCCATATTCTTGGACATTATATTACGCTGTTTATGTCATGGTGGTTAATCCTACACTTGATTTTCAATTCGATTACCGAATAAGATGTCTAAGCATCGTACTGTTCTTTACAAACAGCTCCCTAAACTTTATGATATACCTTGTACAAATGAATGATTTCAGACACTATGTAAGGAAAGTGTTTTGTAACAAAGTCAGTTAGAGTTGTTCTCAATCCAGAAATGACGTCACTATCCACGAGAAATGCAAATAAAACCAATAGGAACTCTCAGAAAATGCACGTGATCAGCGCCAAATGATATTAAAAACTCACGTGACCAAGTCATGAATGTTTTATCAATTTTGATAAAAATTTTGGGTTTTTTTTCAATGATTTTATAATTTTTGTAAATATTTTTTGTGATTATAGTGAATAAAGAATATATTCCTTATCAATTTTGATTGGTTGAGAATGTAGCCATGTTTTCTTGGGACCAATCACAGGGCACAATAAAACAAAGCAAGGCAACTAATAAGGAAATGATGGAATGAGGCCCAGTGCGTTATCTACAAAAGAAAATTATTCTAAATTGAAGGTACGGTGGCCCAAAAGGGTCACGCATGCAAATTAAAATTAGGACTGCTGACAAATATATTACTGCAAATGAAAATATAGAACCGCAAATTAAAATATTACTGCAAATTCCAAAAATACATCACTGAACACAAAAAAATAGAGCTAGAAATTACAACCCATTATTGAAAATTTAACTGCAATTTTAATAGTTGATTGCTGCAAATTTTAAAAAAAAAATTTCCTCTGGCAATCATCAACAACTCTACGGATTAAACCATTCAAATGCAACCAACCATTAATGATATCCCATAAGTAGTTCTGGTATCTCCAAATCACTACTAAAAATAATAAGGGGGTTACATATATTTACAACAGCACTACACATATCAAATTTGTAACAGAATAAGTGAAATAGTGTAGTTTGATCGTTCGGGTGAGTGTAGTCCTGAGAAGGACTGTTGTCGGTAGTGGTGACTGACGTTTCGACAACCTGAGCGGAAGTCATCATCAGAGGCAAGTGAATGGTTGTTGTCAGTCGAATGTTCTTAGTCCGGTTTCTATAAACTGATTGGTCAGTTTTGCCGTGATGTTATTGGCTGTAAGACTCAAGTAATTTGCATTGGTTCAAATAATCCTGTGATTTAATGGATATATTGCTTTTGATTCACAACCCGCGGCAATTTACTCGTGACCTGAAAAAATTCATCGGCGACCCTCAACAATTTAATACGTGCGCCTTACTCAGAGTTTCCCGCGTCGCGCTGATATCAACGTTTTTATTTCACTGATTTAGTTTTGACTCGCGCGACGGAATTCGCCTAAAATCAGGGACGACTTGTAGTTTACCTATTGGATAATCTCTCCCTCACCAACACCAGTTTAAAGGCCCATCTAAAACCTTATAGCGGAGCTCGCGTAGCCCCATAATTATACAAAACAGTAGTAACCCATCACGCCGAAAAAATTTGGATGTACGACCGTACAAGGTGCTACTTTTAACATGCGTGGTCAACTGTACCGCGGGCACGCCAACGCCACGGCTTTATCCAGTAGTCCAGTGGTCAGTGCACTGGGCTCCGAGTCGGACGACCTGGGTTGTAGTCCTGGCCGGTGCAAGGCGTTGTACCCTTGAGACGTGCGGGAAAAAAAATGCGAGCTCCGCTTTTAGGCTTGGCTAAATCTATATATTACAATTATGTAAGCCATAGACTTTCAACTGATTTCCTTTCACAGACCAGCCTTAGGGACAACCGTATAAAAATTTTACTTCACTTTAATCACTAGTAAAAGAGACGCTACTGACAAATCGTTCCCTCGCACTTAGTGATACACTCATCTTTAAAACTTATACGCTACTTTACAGCTGAGGGTTGACGCCGACACAATGTTTGCCATCTAGTTAATCGTGCGGTTTCTCTATCGCTATTTTTCTCTTTACTTAAATGTAAATTACAAAATGACAGCAATCAATGCTAATAAATACGCCAAAAAAAAAAAAAGAAACACTTAATTTAAGAACCTCTTAGAGCGAATTTTCCATGGAATGTCGTAAAAACAACAAGTCAAGTTCTCACTCTGAGAAATCAAAACACAGGGTAATACAACAAAAGGGTTTATTAGAACTCATAGAGGCTTTTAAAATTAAAATTTTAAAACTATTTTTTGATCATCTAACTTTTTAGGAAAGCGGTGGTATTGACACTCCATTCATTGCTCTAAGCTCTATGCTGGAGAATTGTTTGCATATCTTGCAAGTCTTACTTGCATAATTAATTTTTTATTTATTTTAAATTAGTTACTTCTTTACCTAATAAAGTATTAGCCTTGGGTTACATATTAGAGAAACATTTTCCTATAAATATTCCATTCTCTATTAAAGCCTTCTATTTCGTGAAGGTTGGTCAGTGCTCTGAAGACCTTAAGATGTCTTGAGTTAAAAATTTCAAAATTTCGGTCAAAATACATTAGCAGGTACAAAATATGACTCAGTGATTGGCTAACTCCACTTCATCAGCAAACCTTGCATCACCTTTGCAATACCAACATATAATTCCTCCAATCAGCAATAAAGCTGCTGCAACAGCCACAAAGGTAACACCAAGAGTAGCCTTAATTTTGCTGCCTGGTCCTAAGAGTAAGACAATATATGAACACCTTAGTTACACCTTCATGGGACTGCCATCCACATGTTGACATTTAAGAGGTGTTTGTGCGGTAATGTATAATTATGTGATGTTTACATTACAATGTACGTTCACAAATTAAAGGTCGACTGCAGCTAAATAGCAAAATGCACTTTACACTTGAGAATGATTCTCCTTCAGTCTTGAAATTATTGTAAATTGAACTATGCTAATTAAATGAGGGGGGCAAAAAATAAACATTAACCCTTTCACTCCCAAGATCTGATTAGTAATTCTCCTTACTATCTGCCATACAATTCTTATGATGTTAGTTCAGAGAATTTGGTATTGGATCAACAAATAATCCCATAATTTATATTCTTCTCTATTCTCATCACCTGCCTGCTTGATATTGTATTGATATTGTAAGGAGAAATTCTCTCTTGGTCACTTGTGGGAGTGAAAGGGTTAACTACCTGACTTGATTCTTATAGGTTTAACCCTTTAACTTCCAAAAGTGATCAACTTCTAACTTCTCCTTGTAATATTCATACATGATCCAGCAAACAGGTAATGAGAATATTCAAACATATCAAATAAAAGTTGTTGTCTTGATCTAACAACAAATTCTTGTAACTCATTTAAAAGGAAATATGTAGTAGCCAGAGGGGAGAATTGACAATTAGATCTTGGGAGTTAGTGGTTTAAACAGGGTTTTAACAGTGAAAAAATTCCAAATGCTCTGAAGACCTCAACATGCCTTAATTGGGTTCAAAATAATTTAATAAAAATCAAAATAATTTAATATTTTATCCCTTTAACTCCCAGAAGTGATTGACATAAAACTTCTCCATACATTCTTCAGCAAACAGGTAATGAGAATATTCACACTTATCAGGTAGAGGCTGCTATCTTGATCTAGCACCAAGTTCTCATAACTAATTTACAAGGAAATGTGTAGCAGCTACAGGAGAGAATTAACAACCAGTAAAAGGGTTAATTCAATTTTACTTGAACTAACAAACATCAATTTTTCATTGAAACTCTACCTTTGATTTGTGGGTTGTCGGACATGCCTTGACCACCAGGAGACTCAGTGTTGACTACAGATGGCGTAACTGCCCCAAAAAAGAAAGAAATTGAAACAGTCATGAAAAAAGTCTAACATTTTTGGGGTTTCAAATCAAGTTTGAAACTTGAATATGAAAGCCATGACCCCTGCGATACCAGTCAATTCTTATAGGTTTAAACAGGGTTTTCACAGCAAAAAAATTCCAAATGCTCTGAAGACATCAACATAAAATAATTTCATCAAAATCAAAATAATTAAATATTTTAATTCAATTTTACTCAAACTAACAAACATCAATTTTTCATTGAAACCCTACCTTCAATTTGTGGGTTGTCAGACATGTTTTGACCACCAGGAGACTCAGTGTTGACTGCAGACGGTATAACTGCCCCCAAAAAAAAAAATTGAAACAGTCATGGAAAATGTCTAACATTTTTGGGGTTTCAAATCAAGTTTGCAACTTGAATATGAAAGCCATGACCCCTGCAAACTAACAAAAAAATTGAAAACCTTCGATTTGTGGGTTGTCAGACATGTTTTGACCACAACAGTCATGGAAAATGTCTAACATTTTTGGGGTTTCAAATCAAGTTTGCAACTTGAATATGAAAGCCATCTTCACAGTAATGAACACTACTTAAGCAGTAGTAAAAATAAAGGCTGAAAAAAATATTCAGGCCTCTACTGGATTTGAACCCACGACCCTTGAGATGCCGGTGCAATGCTCTACCAACTGAGCTAACAAACCAAGTGGGAGCTGGTCATTATGTTGGTACCAAATAAACCCATGAAGGGGTGAATAAACGACTGTGAATATATGAAAGTCATATATTTGAACTGCGGATAAAGATATAAATATGTAAACGATCTTCTTGAGCAGTAGTGAAAATAAGACCTGAAAAAATTCAGACCTCTAAAAATTTGAACCCATGACCCCTGCAGATAAAGAAGTGGATATGTAAGCAACCACAGTACATTTTCAGTCACCTACCTCTTATAATTTTGATGTCCAGACGATTACAGGGCGATGGGCCCGTCAACACATATTTCAGAGTGAAGTTCCAGTTTTCATGCCTGGAAGGATCTCTTATCTTTAGTATGATAGATGATGTGTTGCTGGAGAATTCTAATCTCTTGTTGCAGAATTCCTTCAGACTTGGATCGTTTATAAATTCATTGCAAGTCATGTTTAAGGATCCTTTATGCAAGTATGCTATGATCTCTGAGTTTAGGACAAGGCGATAGCCACGAAGCTCTTCACCACTAGAGGATTTATTCCAGATAATTTGGACTGGTTTCCCCTCTTTGACATCAAAGTATTCTTTTGAAACTAAAGAAGATAAAAAATATATATGTATTTTTAAAAACATAATTTCACCAATCCTTTTTAAATAATTTACATTCCTGATAAATTAATTAGTTAGAATATAGTATCCTCTCAATATACCTAACCACTGGTCAGGAATAATTTCAAAATGCAGTATTTTAGAGTGATAAATACTATCAACCTTTCACTAAGTTCACAATTATACTAACTCTCAACCTCACAAGCCATAAAAAAAATAAAAAAGAGATCATGCAAACAATTTTTTAGTGGCAAGTAAATCAACCATTTGCCAAAGTATTTGTCCACTTACTCATATTGAGTCCTTTCAAGAAACCACAAAGTGTCTACATCAGAGCTCCAAGTTTCATGTATTAAGTGTGAAATTAAAACACTCAAGCAAATTCAATCTTACACTCTCAAGCTGAAGGCTTTTATTTATCACTCATTAAAACAGTTGATTTTGAGATAGAAAACTATCACTTTTGTCACCAGTGAGTTCCCATATAATTAATTAATTCTCTAATTGTAATTTACTTCTTGTTCCCTTTGTACTTGCTTTGAACACTTTCCAAAAGTGGAAATTCTCAATCAGAATAACAGAATGTAAATCTTAGCTTCTTCATTTTCATGCTAATTTTTGGCTGAGCATGCCCCACACCCCTCCCCCCCCACCCTACACCCCACCCCTTTCCACCTTTCAGTACGTAATGCCCATGGTATCACACTCTTTGACAGAAAATCAACTTGAGTTAGAGCTCTGTCACATACAAGTACTGCTCACACCTAAGTCTAATTAACACCAATTGACTTGAGAGGTAAAAAAAAATACAGTTAGAAGGTGTAAACACAATAGTTCTTTCAGATAGCATTCTTTTCAAATGCAAGTGCCCAGGATTGTGGATCATCTTAAACCTTCAACCAACATAATGTACCAACTTTAAAAACAATATTAATTAAACAAACTGTTTTAAGTTGATGTTGGCATCCTAATATAATCTAAGCTCACCACATCGATGTGTCTCGTGTTGGCCTGCTCCTGTTTTGGTTTTGTTCGTATTGCTTGTATTGCCTCCCGCTGAAAAGGGTAAAAGATCACCACCTTGATGCTAACATTTTGATTAGGATACATTTTTACAATACGACCCCCCTTTCGATCTTGTCGTGAAAGTGAGAAAATAGCCCGGCAAGGCATGAATCTAACGAAAATACAGTGATTACACTTAGTAATTGAACGGTAAGATTGCTGACCCAACAGTAAACCCTGTTCGGTTTCTTGTGAGGGTAAAATTTCCGCACAGCCTCATCCTACATTATGCATTCAGTTCTTGGATAAAGAAAACAATCCCAAAAAAATACATTGCTACTGGGAAAACAGATTTGTTTTACAATAGTCTGGGGCTGTGCGGAAATTTTATCGGAAAATAATACGCAGGAGTCAGCCAACAAACGACATACGCACCACTAAGATCTTAAGTCCTCCTCATTGAGAGAAATTTAGACACAAATTATGTAAGTTTACTTACCCTGGAGCACCATTAACGATAAAATAACGTATAAGGTGAGATAACGAGCCATAGTAAACATGAAATGGCAAAATAACTGGGAATATACCGTAATAGAATCCTTTCAACACAGTTCGTCGCGAAAGTGGCCAATGAGAATCAAAAGATCACCCATGTGATCTTCAACCACGTGGTTGTCCTCGTACTTTGACGTCATTTCATGGCAGCGTAGTATTCAGGCAGGCTATGAACCTTTCGCTGTGGTAGATTGAGAACTTCATCTCTCAGTCTTCTCATGAAAAAAGTAAAAAAAAAACAAACAAACAAATGAAAACTGATGAGTTATTCGCTGGTTGATAAAGGTCGTCCAAGATAAAACGGAAAAAAGTAAAATCCAGTCGCCAAGGATTATGAAATAATCAAGACCAGACTTCCGTAGAAAAACCACTCACCTACTATTAAACATGCGCCTGAAAAAGAGACGATTCTTGCCAATGAACTTATGGGAGGAAAGTATAGGCAAAAATTAAAGAAATGGAAATTTACCTGAGCTTCCGACTTCTGCAGAGTCTGAGCCGTCCTAGGCCAGATTTAAATGAATCAATTGAGCAGTTTCTCACAATTGCGAGTCACCTTCGGGAAAGTGCTGGAATACTTGATCAAACCCAATCGTGTACCCCAGTGAAAGGGTGTGGACAGGGAAGTTAGAACTCCCGCTATGGGGGCCGAGTTTTCACAAATAAAACTCACTCGATCGATTAATCACTAAAATGAACGATGGCCAGTCTTGCTTTTTCCTTGCTCTCTCCCAAATCCATGCGTAGAAAAATAATGACTGTTTATCCACAGAGAGGCTGATAAAAATCGCTTAGCGCTCTCAAAGGGCAGGGGCGATTTCACTGTCACTCGTAAGTACGTCATGTGTGGGGAATCATATTATGGACTAGGCAGTGTGCGCACTCCGATTGCGTTGCATTGTGGAAGCTTAATTTTCAATATGGCGGTGAAAGCACAAGAAATTGCCAGATTTTGACTGAATATTCCGTGAAAGTTAGGCCATTCCCTTTTCCTTTTACCATAGGTAAATGTAATTTGAATTATTCTTAATGTGTAAAAGTATTTTTGTACGTATTGTCGTGTATTTTATGGTTCTCAAGGAAAAACGTAATCACGGTCTTTTAGTATGTAATTTGAGCCCGATTTTCGAGAAGGTCAAATTGGATGTACGTCGTAGTTTGGAGCCTTTCAAAGATTTAGATGGCCGCTTTGATCCTTCTTTAACAGCTTTGACCAAACGCTCTCAAACGTCCTCCAACAGTACTTGTATTTCTCGCATTTTAAGTGCTAGTGTTTGAGACCGATTATGGCCGAGGAAAAGCATATTGTTGCGTTACACAGCGTTACTATTGTATACTCAATTGTGTTGTAAATCTATTTGGTAAAATTTCCGCACAACCCCTCACTCCATTATGCATTATTGGATAGAGAAATCAGTGACAAAAACAATACATTGCCATTGGGAAAATAGATTTGTTTTACAATAGTAAGGGGCTATGCGGAAATTTTATTTATTTTCCTAAGTAAAAGGAAATTAACTAATGGCGAGTGATGTATGGTAAATCTACCAGTTGAATTAGAGTAACAAAAGGAGTCACTTGACCAATGAATAACTCGACAATGCACACGGCAACACGCCTTGTAAAGCCAGAAAGCAAAAGACAGTCGATCATTTAAAGGTGTTGATAGGCCTGTACAACTCCTACCATTCGCTTGTACTTTTAAATCTTCTGACCTGAAAGCGTAACTGTTATGAAGATGTCTTTAAATGACTTTCATTTGCGATGTGATAATAGGAGTTAGTTTTAAGGTGTCATTTCCCCTTCTGAATGTTCTTGAGGTTTGGGAAAGCTGGATGAGATTGTGTTACAAAAGGTAATATTTTCATGTGTGTGCCCTATTTTTTTTTAATTTCAAGTATGCTGTCTCTTCCGTAGAAAATAACTACAGAGATAGGTTTCTCAAAACCTTATCCTATTATCCTTAGAAACTCTATGTTTTTCATTAAACATTGAGCATGATGAATTTGGTCTTAGGAGGCTTAAGGCTTCTTTTGCGAATCTTGTATTTATGCCTTTAAGTGTATGACACAAAAAATAGTTTGTGTATTAGAAGGTTGCTGTCTCTTTAATGTGTTTGCATTTTAAGGGTCAATTCCCCATTTTTATATTATTCACACAGCCATCGGCTGTGAGGGTAACTGCTGCCAAATAAAAGATTCTTGGGCAAGGCTGCGGTTTCAATTCTTTCTGAATCTCTTCAGTTGCCTCCAAACAACCAATTTGTCTTGGAGGAATAACAGGAATCACATAGGCTAGCAAACACTTTTTAACTTTCAAAGGAACAGCAATAGTGAATACCCATTACATTCCATATTTATTCACGCTATCTCGCTGTCACCAGAGATGTTCACTTGATGGCGACAGAATGCAAATGACTTGCTTTTTTTTTCCGACCATGATGCAATGCAATCAGAGTGCTCACTGCCTGTATGTAAAGTATAGGACATAATATGTAACGAGTGTAGAATAATTCCCCATACATGATGTACTTAGGCTATCATCACCAATTACCACTGATTCTTTATTAGTAGGCTCGATTTCTCACTATAATTTCCGGAGATCAGGTAGGCAAGTTTTACAGGCTGTACTATTAAAATAACTAAGAATCGATGCTAAGGCAAACGTTAAACTTCCTGCCATCTGCTTTCGGACAATTTTTCCCTGAATTGAAAATATTTGCAATAGCTGTGAAAAAGAGATATTTTGATGTTTCTAGGATCATTCAAAAGTTGAGTAAGGACAGTAAGATCAGAGTTCATTTTCACTGTTTGCTGTTCAGCAGCCGTCGTCATGCTTAATGTTTCCATTTGTGACTCTCCTTTTACAAAAACTCGTGTCATCTTTTTTAACACCAGTTGAAAGACCTCCATGGGCACAGCAGGGAAACTTAAAGGCACCTCCAGATTAAAACCTTGAAGATGACCAGGGTAACGTATAAGCAGCATCGATCAACTAAACCTCTGTTACAAAAGAACTTCATATCTATGGTCTCATTTAGGTCAGATCCTTTGAATCTCAGACGATTTCGTCTTATTTCAGGTTCTGCCTTATCTGGTTACAATGGTTCCTCTGATTTTGGGCAGTTCGGTTCAATCTCAGTCAATCTCTTTTCATTTCAGTTCCATCTACTTTCGGACTGTTCTGTCTGACTTCAGATGGTTTTGTCCAATTTTCATGTTTCTGTTTCTGATTTCAAAGGGGTTTCCTCAGGTACTGGTTGAATTAATTACACCAACTGCAAACAGTTGCATCTACTTTCTGTAAGGACAGCTTGAGTAATTAAGTTGTGACTGGCCTAATTAAAAGCTATAGAAAAACTTGTTCAACTTTTATGCTCGAAACATTTGTGTAGTCACCCCTTAAAAACAGCAGTGTTTCAGTTTGATTCCTCCTTGTGATTTCAAATGGTTCAAGCCCACTTCAGACAGTCTACTCTGATCTTGGATAGTTCCATCCAGTTGTAGATGGTTCAATTTCAGATTACAGACCTTTCCGTCCGACTTCGGACAATTCCGTCAAATTTTGAATGGTTCCACTTGATGTCTGATACCAGAAAGTAGAAGCAATTGGGTTTTGACCAAACAGAACTCTAATTTACAATAATTATAATAATCATAATTTTACTCAGACAATCAAATAAAGCTTGTTGTTAGTTTTTTAGACAAAACATTTTTTGGTATTAATAAAATGCAAGTTTAAATTCATAGAAAATTAATTCTTGACTTAACAACACAATATAAAAATTCCATTTATTTTTTATTTACAGACTCAAACTAAATGGCTAAAACTTCCATCAATAGAGTGTTCTTTTCATCTTTTGCTGCCCCCCATACAAGGGGGTGACTTGGGTACTGTCTTTGTGCTACTTTCCCACTGTTCTGGAGTTTTGGCCTTAAAAAAAACAACAATATAAACAATTATCTTGATAATCAAATAAGAACAACTTATTACAAGAAGGTGTAATGCACTGTTTCTCTTGATGATCTGTCTACAGTTCTCCTTTTTTCCCCACTGGTCTAAAGAGGAAGTCCACAAAGAAAGCACACAATAAGGAACCTATTTTATCTCTTCTCATGCCCCACCCACCCCACCCCCTTGCATTTGTGTGTTACTTTACCTTCTCAAAGGGGGGGAGGGAAGGGGTCCTGATCCTGCTTTGCACAAACAAATTTTAAAGCATTTATGTATCACATAGAGAAAAAGAAAACTTCAATCTCTCTTCTTGTGTACAAGATTTCAAGGAAATCTTGAGGTTTTCACAAAATGAAGAAAAAATTCATGGGTCACATATTTGAAGAGGCAAATCACACCTTATGCTATTTCATGAATCATGCTCGCCTTTCATAGTATCTTAGTTATTTTGTAAATAAAGATGACTTGCTTTGGCAGATAAGGTTATCAACTCTAATCACCTGCTTCCTTACTGATGTATTTATATTGTCAGGAAAAATTACATATAAATTGCTTCCAGAAATTTAGGAGTTAAATTTATTACCTGTATAGATAGAGCATGGACCCCAGTGGCCAACTCTTCCTTTAGGACTTCATTGACCAATCTGTGTCTCTGTTAACCCAAAGATACAAGTGTAAATTCTCCAAACAATCTTGCATATATTATTTCTAACTTTAGGTGTGAGAATTAATGCATCAATCAATTCAAGCTTCAACATTCCTCTCCCCACCCCCACTCACACCACCCCCCCCCCCCCCAATAACCCTCCTGGCATTTGAACTCTTTAAAGATTGGTTTGTTCAAATGCCTTACCCAATTTTTTGGTAAAAAGGCTTAACGCTTTTTAAAACTCCCAAGATCTGAATGTAAATTCTCCCCTCTGGCAGCTACACATTACCTTACAATTTAGTTTGGAGAATTTGGTGTTAGATTTCAACAACAACTTCTACCTGATAAGTCTGAGTATTCTCATTACCTGTTTGCTGGTTAAAGTGTGAATACTGTGGGGAGAATTTACACGTTAATCACTCCCTGGGAGTTAAAGGGTTAATCAGTGACTGTGACTTTCTTTGCACTAACCAAGCTTTAAAACCTTGACCTTGTCGGCCTTTTCTTCTGAACCATTTTCTCATGTAAGTGGTCTATTTACCTTAACCTTTTCAGTCCTGCAAGTGACTAATGAGTAATTTCTCCTAACAATATCAATACAACATCAACCAAAGACATAATGAGAAGATAAAAAATTATCAGCTGGGACACATTATTTAATTTAAAACCAAATTATCACAGCTACAATCATAGGAAATGCATAGAAGATGGATAGGAGAATTTGTATTGAGATCATAGGAGCGAAAGGGTTAAACACCTCCACTGGTGGAAAGACTTGACACTTTTGGTCCAACTTCCCCACCCCAGTCAGGCAAGGTTCAATTTCCCCTCAATGGGGGGGGGGGGGGGTTGAAGCTTAAAATTGACCTGTGCATGAATCAAACAAGTGTCCCTAATTTTAATATTTTTTTTCTTCTCATCACTATTCTGCTTGAAAATGCATTGATATTGTAGGGAGAAATTCTTTCTTAGTGGCTCCTAGGAGTGAAAGGGTCCAATGATAAAAAGACATTTAGAATAAACTCATTTGCAATTACTGTTCACAGTCGTCAAATTTAATGACTACATTATCTATAAATTATAAATCTCAAGCTCTCACCACCACTTAACCCTCTAATCCTTGAGAGTGACCAGTATCTAATTTCTCCTTTCAATATCCCCAATGAATCAAACATTACGGTCATGAGAATACAGGAAATGATAATCAACTGATTACAAAGAACCACTTGATTGTTATACAAATTCTCCTCACCAGCACATTAGGAAATGTATAAAGAACAGTATGGAGAATATGCATGCTGATGTTAGGGTATAAAGGATTAAAAACTACAACTGAATCAAAATGATTTCCTACCTGAATTAACGGTTTGTCATTAAAATTTGAAGATACCACCACAACCTTAAAATGGGTTTCTGAACCTGAGAAATTCCAAAAAACACCATTTACATTAACTCCTTCACAACTTTCATGATGTACTGATTATGTCACCCAATTTTCATGTTGTGCCTACATGACGTACTCAGCACATTAAAAGTTGGAGAGAAACAGTCAGATCTCCATCACTGGATATATAAAACAACCTTGCCTTAAAACTCAAAACAAGTTAAAAAATTCTGAAAAATGATAAATTAATTTGCATTGGCATTAGATCACTCAGTGTGATTGGTAATCAAGGGGTTAACCCTTTAACTGCTAAGAGTGACCAGCATCTAATTTCTCCTAACAATATCAGCCCTAAATCACATATTAAGGTCATGAGAGTAAAGGAAATGATCACCAGGGAAGGAACCTTTTGATTGGTAAATAAATTCTCCTTGTCAGCACCTTAGGAAATGTATAAAGAACTGTGTGGAGAAGATGCATACTGATGATAGGGTATAAAAGAGATAATGAACAGCTGGGATATACTTTGCCTAACAGGTTATCTTTATGTTATTACTCTGACACAATTTCGAAATCATGACTTGTAAGGTTTTAACCCTTTAACTCCCAAGATCGTATTGTGAATTCTCCCCTCTGGCTGCAAGACATTTCTTTGTAAGTTAGTTACAAGAATTTGGTGTTTGATCAAGGTAACAACTGCTACCTAATAAGTTAAGGTTTCTCGTCACCTGTTTGTTGAATAATGTATAGATGTTGCTGGGAGAAGTTACATGCTGATCACCTCTGGGAGGTAAGGGTTAAATTCATCCATATAAATTGTATGAGCTTCCAATAATATTTGTATTGCTATATTTAACGACTAAAAGAAGGGTACGAGCTTACTGTCAACAATGAAAGTAAAGCTTACCTTTTGGAACATTATGCATGTAACTTTCATTCATTACATCTAAATAGACAGGCTGTAACAAAAAAAACATTGTAACACATTGCTGATTTTGCAGTCATAAACATACTCAGAAGTTAACTGTTTGACTCCTATTAGTGACTGGAATCTAATTTCTTCCTACAATATCACTCCTGAATCAAACATTGAAGTTACGAGAAAAAAGGAAATGATCAGCGACTAAAGAAGCTCTTGATTGTTAAGCAAATTCTCCATTTCAGCACCTTAAGAAATGTATAGTGAACAGTATGGAGAATATGCATACTGATATTAGGGTGTAAAAAGGTTAATAAAACCAACCACCTTAAGTACCTTGAATTCCTTTGTTAGTTTTTCAGTAATTGATTGCTGGACTGACATCATGGCCTGATTGGAAAAATATGAAATAACACAAAAGAGGATTTGTATAATATCCAATAAAAAAAACCTGCAAATTAGCCAATAAAGCTGGTGATGTCATTTATGAAAAATATACTAGTTTTGGCAGGAATTAAGAGTTTATAAGAGACTCAGGAAAGAAGTGGCCACAATATTGTTGTGAGAACAAAACCAAACTTCATACCAGCCTCACATAAGCTCACCATTCATTTCAAAGGAGCTACCTTGCAAAAGAAAAAAAAAACCGACATAACTCCATTGTGGGGGGGAGTTACTGCACTCCCTCTCCCTACCCACCCCATCTAAGTCTTTCCATGTTTAGCTATGAGGAACCAATCCGTTTTATGAGAATAATTGCTTCAGTTAGTGAAAGTTGTATATACCTGAGATGCAGTTGATAACAGATTTTTATTTCTTGGGTGTACAGTGGCTCGAAATATCCTAGTCAGATTACCTGAAAATGGAGAGCAGATGTTATTTTTTGGGGAGCTGCTGACTTCATGAAGATCTCAGTTACTGCACCACCACCCCAACCCCCCACTCACCTAAACGAAGACCCCCCTCCCCCCCCCCCCCCCACACACACACACTCTGACTTTCCCTTTGTTGATTGTTCTGTGTTGATACTACACCACAGGGCGGTTTTTAGTCCGCTCTAGATCATCTCATTATTAAGCGTTTTGACTTGAAATCCAACCATAGCTTGCACTGAAAATCTTCAAGGAGAAGGGGTCCTTCTTCTTCGAATATTAGTGAAATTGACGGAAAAGTGATGCTAAAATAGCCAAGAATTAAATTGTAGAATTATTAAACGTTGTCCACAGCTGTTTATTTCAACCATCTAGGACTGAAAATCCGTGAAAAGAAAGTCCAAATCGATCTCAGATTTAACGTAGCAGAGACCATCTGTAGTTCAAGATGAGTACCTCTGATCATGGATAAATGCTTTGTCGAAACACTTCGATAATGGTTTCTACCCCAGCACAGAACGATCGACGACAGAATGTTTAGATCGTGTCGCCTTGAAGCAAACTGGCAAAGCACTATGGGTGTTACAAAGATGACACAGGCAGCCCAGTATAACCTTGGAGATTTATTGTTGCCAAGTGCACTAGTAAGGGAAAAGGTAGTTTTTTCACAAAGAAGAGAGACACATTCAAACGATTTAAGTATTAATAGTAACTACGGTCGTAAAAATTTTCCAATTCGTCCGAATTACAATTCTAGCGCACGTGCTGGGCTGACATAAAATTGTCGAAGTTTTTCTCTGCGGTGAACCCGCCTTTTCCCCCGGAGTAGTCGATCAACGGGGCTTCATCTGTCCCATGTGAATATTACACCTAGAAGCAGAATGGTCAATAAAGATTTATCAGCGGTAACTGAAATCTTAATTTTTAAAATTATGAATGGCTTAAGAAAGTGCTACCTTCCTTAGGGAATTCTGTTTTATAAAGACTTCTCGTTACCCAAGCGCGTAATGTAATCAGCCTTCAGGAATGAATAAACATGTTTTACTTGTGCTTATAATGAGGGTCCAGTTCAAAACATCACGAATAACAAAAAGATAGTCAGGTAACTGGCAGAATACACAACAACTGTGAGAAGTTTCTTGGAAGTTTTCCGTAACCTAGCAGCATGGCGGATCTTTATGTTCCTTCACGAACTCCTGCAGTTATAACGCACCATAGCGACTGAAGTCATCTGAAGCTTAAACAAGTTGGCTAAGAGGACTGAGAGAGTTCACCGGCCGGAAAATCTATTCTGATCAGAACATATGGGTGATAAATATGGATGATTCACATAACTAAAATTATCTTATCAATCCAAAGTAATCGTAACGACATTGTGGTTTCGTCCTTTCGATCTCTCGAGAATCTCTAGCATACTCTTGAATGCTGAGTATGGAAAACTCTGAAAGACTTGAAACAGATGAGGAAGCTACGGAATTTGTTCATCGGAGGGGCTCGTTGCGAGACTCTGAATCCTTCGATCACAAGAAAGATATTGAAATCCGGCCTTTTGAGAAAATCAGAGAGCTTCGTTTTAAAATCAGTGAAAACATAAATAACAATTCTCTGAGCCAAGTTGGGCGTAATGACGACGCTTTTCTGTTGATGTTCCTAAGAGCTCGACAGTACCTTGTGGACGAATCATTCAAACTTCTGTCCAACTACATTGAATTTCGCCAAAACAACGTTTCTTTGATGGAAAATCTATCTGCATGGGAGTTGAACCACGTGTTAGAAGACGGCCTTCCATGTGTTTTGCCATACACTGATCAAAATGGCGCTAAACTTATTGTTTTCTTCGCCGGCAATTGGGATAAAGATACTTACGGCACACTAGAGATTTTGAAGGCATTCATTTTAACCATGGAACGCTTGATTGATACAGACGAGGCGCAGCTCAATGGAATCGTAATAATTGCAGATTTTTCAGGCTGGAGTGCTACTCACACATCCAATTTGACTGTTTCTTTTATTCGTCAAGTTTTCGCCATGTTCCAGGTATGTCAACTGAAATGAAGTCTTAAGCAAATGAATAAAGGGTGCAATTTTCTAAAGAAATTTTGTTGCTGCGTCGGTGGGGGGGAAGAGGTGGTATTTTGGAATTGTTTGGTTTTATCATTGTGATGTAAATTGACCGTCGTTAAGAGTTTACAAAGCTGAAGTTTAGAGCGTTAGTCCTTCGTTAGAGTGAATTGGGACAAATTGGCAGATGCCGTGACAGCTTTAGCTCAGCTCCATGTTTTGTTTCTTTAATAAAAAACGCGCCGAGTGCATTGTTGAATTATATATGAACGCGGGAATTTTTAAGAACACGAGAGAAGTGCGGAGAAGCACGAGTCGAAGGCGAGTGCCTCTCGTACTTCTCTCGTGTTCTTAAAAATTCCCAAGTGCTTATATAACTCAACAATGCTCGAGGAACAAGCTTGTTTATTTCTTTTATAAAATGTATTGCGAATTGTGCGATGATGTAGGCTGCGTGCGTTCTATCTCAACGGTGCACTCGTGTGACGTAAGGCGCATGCTTTATGGAAATATAATGAACTCGTTCTAACCAATAACGGCGCGCACATTTCTCTGAACATTTTATAAACTCTGATAGAGCATGCTCTTTCAACCATTGACAGCGCACGTTATATCCGAACTTTATTATAATAAAGTAGAGGGCTGGAAAATAAACCTACTTGAGCTCCGCTTTTAGGCTTGGCTAAATCTATATATTAACGAGTTTCGTATGTATCTCTATCTTAGGATCACTACCCGGCGAGATTTGTCGCATTTCATTTTGTGAACGAACCCTGGTATGTAAAGGCTGGACTAACTTTAATGAAACCATTTATTCAGGAAAAGATGTGGAAGAGGGTAAGATTACGAAATATAGTTTACACGAATACTTTTAAGAGGGCGAATCCTCGATAGAAAGTCAAACTTAAATCGAATCTCTCTGGTAGAGAGGCGCTCAAGAAGAAAACAACTCTAGTAGAATTTAGTAAGTAAACGTGGCTCCTTCTTTGTGTACGTGTAGAAGACACAGGGATGCGTCACAATAGAACACCGCCTTAACTTAACAATTTCATTGTTTTCCTCGTTCTTTTGTCTTTCTGTTCTTTATTGTTTTACGTCAACTGCATTAGATTCTAATTCTAGATTCTGTATTAGGATCGCTTATATTCGTTTCTTCACCGCAGTGCACATATACGATTTTCATATATTTCCAGTAATTATTCACCACTTGGAAGGTTTGTTTGGATCCAACGTAATGACCAGCTCCCAATTGGCTTGTTAGCTCAACTGGTAGAGCGGTGCACCAGTATCGCAGAGGTCATGGGTTCAAATCCCGTACAGGCCTGAATTTTTTTCAGGTCTTATTTCAACTACTCGTTCAGTAGTGTTCATAGCTGCGAGGATCGCTTATATCCGTAACCGTAAACCTGTTAGTTTTAACATCACAACTAGAAAGGCTCCATTCAGTCTTAAAAGGTTAAGTAAATTAATTCCTAATCTCCTACCGTGTAACTAACTGAGTTTCACAAGTGCTTGGCCGTAAAAGGTCTGGGTACGAGACTGCTTTGAAAAATTCCTTAAATGACTTTCCATTTCTAAAATGGTCAGTTTTCCGACTCCTTTTAGATACACTTACATGGTAACAATAAAGTGACACTTCACGACCAGTGTCACCTGGACACGCTGCCGGCGGAGTTTGGTGGAAATAAGCCTGCAGTGGACCGCACGTACTGGGCACGAGTATTACTCGATTTGGAGAAAACGAACCGAAGTCACGTGTATGGAGAAAACCCATTCAGAGGGCTGCTTAGCATGGATATTGACAAGTAAGAAATCCCACACGTGATTAACACGTGGTCATTCAGGCTTAGAGAGAAAGAAAACCTGGGGACTTGGCTTGGCAATTGAGAAGCGCTCGTACAAGTTTGGACAGAAAAGAAAAGATGCAGAGAGTAGCACACAGAGCTGTTGGTTTGCAAATTCATAGAGTGGTGGCAGTTGGAAAATTCTACTAAAATTGTAATATATTATCTGAAAAAGAAAGATTTCCTGAAACTAGTGGTTTCAGAACACGCAAGAGAAATAACAAAACTTGATGTTGTACAAATAAATAACCTTCATTTTAAAAAAATGCTATGAGAGCCAGTGCACTAGACTCTGGGTTAAGAGGTCTGTGTATCGGTGTTGTACTCTTAGGCAAAACACATTGCTTTACAGTGCCTCTCTACACCCAGGAGTATAAATAGATACTGCCAGATTGTTGGTAAAGCCTGATGAAATGCTAGGATGGGTGCAGAGGGGGGGAATGAAGAGTAACCTGCAATGAGTTAGCATTCCTGTCAGGGGATTAGCAATTCTCTGGGGCCCAGTTGTATAAAGGACGGATATTGCTATCCAATTGATAAATTGCTCTCTCAGGTGATAGAAAAAAAAAACTGTACCATCCACCCAGTAAAGATTTATCCAGTGGATAACATTATCCAAGCTTTGAATAAACGGGGCCTGATCTCTTCATATTACAGAAAGTGGGATACACGCCAACTGAATGAGTCACTTAACTTTGATTTTACTTTCGAAACTTCAGTTGGAAAAGTTAGCCACATAACAAACTTTCATTGAGCTCTTTCAGAATAAAGTCACCTTGTTTCAAACACTATCTCAGTTTTGTGTATTTTTAAATGAAACCTAGTGATCCTAAGTCATCTGCACATAAGGATATGACAACTTGTGCTGCTTACAAACCAGGCAAACTGTTGCAATGGAATGGTTGATGACTTTAATTCCACTTCACATCTGGAAAAATTACCCATCAACAAACAGAATTCTCCACATGTTTGAGTCCTGAAAATGCAAAATTGAACCTACAGCCTTGCTGTATGCAAAAGATTTTTCACCAAAGCAAAGGATAGTAACTCCTTCCTGCAGCTAAAAAATCTTTGGCTGCACAGGGCATGTATGCCTGTTCTGCTTGTTTTTTTAAGCATGTGAATAAGTTACTCACTGACTGGTAAGTTAAGTCTGACATAAAGGCTCTAAAAACTATCAGCCATAAATTTGTACACAATTTCTGCAGCATCTAAAAAAAGAGCTTGTTGTGTAAATCAAAGATATTTTGCTCTCTTTGCTGCAATCTCCCTCTCAGTACCAAATTCATAATATTGAGGTGCAAGGGTGTAAAGCCATGATGGATCAATCTTGGTGATATCTCGCATGTATTCCTTGGATGTCTGGAGCACTTCATGGTATATCACCCACTGTGGTGGAGTTTCCGTGTACAAGACAGATGCCGGGTGGATGTAGAGTGGATGGTCATCCCGCACAGTGCGGTATGACCCTGATGGATGTAAGCGTGCAGCATTAGCAAAGAATCCACTTACAATGCACTGACAGATTGAGTCAATGTCTCCATCACAAGAGACTAATGGCACTTTAAATTGTAAAAGGAGTTTCTTGAACTGTTCTCGGATTTTCACAGCATGGCAGAGTCCTTTGTAGTTCAGGAAGTTCTCATGACACCACTTTGAGCTTTTCTTAAACTTCACAAAGGCTTCATAAACATTCAGTAGAGTTATGTGATCTCCTTCATAAACAGAGAACTTTCTCTTGGCATTGTCAGCTGCAGCTTTCTGTTTGCTTGGGCTGACAAAGACATTCTGTATCTGCAGCATGGCTGCAATTGTAAGGATTTCTTCTGAACAACCAAAATCTCCTGATGACAGCAGCATTTTGGCTATCATTGGATCTGTAGGGAGCTCAGACATGTTTACTCCTAAGGGATCAGCTAACTTTCCATGCTGGTCAATTGCTCCAAGAGCATACAACAGTTCCAAACCACGTATCACACTCTGGGCAGGAGGACGCGCTGGGAAATTGAACCGGAGAATGTTGTCAATCCCCATGCATTTCAGTTGTAACATGACAGATGCCATGTTACATCTTTGCATTTCAGGCACAGTAGATGGTTTAAGACCATCAAAATCTTGCTCTGTATAGAGTCTGTACACCTTCCCTGACCTTACACGACCAGCCCTGCCAGCGCGCTGTTTTGCTGAAGCCTGTGATACTGGTACAACGACTAAACTTTCAACTCCAACTTTGGGAGAGTAAGCTCGCAACTTTACAAACCCACAGTCAATGACATATACAATTCCATTTATGGTAATAGATGCCTCAGCAATGTTTGTGGCCACTACAACCTTTCTTGTATGATGGGGAGTTGGCTTGAAAACCAGCATTTGCTCTGAATGTGGAAGACCACTGTACATAGGCAGCACTTTAAGGTACTGAGAACCCTTAGGCTGTTCTCTCGCTCTCTCAATCAACTGAGCAACTACAGCTTCTACTTCATCTTGGCCTGTGACAAATGCAAGAATGTCACCATGGGCTTCCTCTTTGTGGATTCCCATGACAGTATCCACTGTTGCTTTTAAATAATCAGGAACAGGACTTAAAGTGTAATGTATTTCTGTGGGATACGATCGTCCCTTAACTGACAAAATTGCTGCAGTATCCTTGCTGCGATCTTTGGTAATGTTGGTGTTGAAAAAATCTCTGAACATCTCTGCATCAAGAGTAGCAGAGGAAACGATAATCCTTAAATCTTTTCGCTTTTTCTTGATCTTTTTCAACAGCCCTATCATAATGTCAGTGTGCAGCGTTCTCTCGTGAGCTTCATCCAACATGATCACACTGTACTGTGATAACAAAGGGTCACTCATCGTTTCCCTCAACAACACACCATCTGTCACAAATTTCATACGAGTAATTTCTGGATTGCAACAGTCGTCAAATCGGATTGTATAACCAACTTCCTCGCCAATGAACGAACCTCTCTCCTCTGCGACTCTTGATGCTACAGTAACAACAGCCACTCTGCGAGGCTGTGTAATGCACACTTTCCATTTCCCTGCCGTCCAGCCACTCTCATGAAGATACTGAGGAATCTGTGTGGACTTTCCGCAGCCTGTTTCTCCGACGATTATCACAGTTTCGTATTTCTCTAAGAGATATAAGATATTCGTTCTGTGCATAAAAATCGGAAGCCTTTGCCTTTGAAGAGAAATGGATAATGAGCTGTTTGGATTGTAAACAGCTGCAGCTGCAGTGTCGTTATCATTAAGTGGTCTTTCTATCGCGACATCACCGCCAGGTTTTTCAGTGTCTGGTTTCCAAAAGCGTGGTTTAAAACTTGCCGAGCTGGCCGCCATTTTGGTTTTACCGCCGATCGAAATGTTTGCGCACACTCGATTTGGAATACCGCTACATCATTTGAGTCAGGGCTCAAATTCAGTAAACGCGTAAAGTCGCGAGGATTCGCGTTGATCCACTCAAGCTGTGATGAAGTGAATTTGTTCAAATTGTCGTTTAGAAGATGGCTCCACCTCGAAAAAGGGTGACTGGCGATCGAAAGAAGAGTAAGTTTGTTGATGATCTAATTTATAAACCAATTTTTTGAGAGAAAGCTGCATACTTTGCTGAAAATTCCTGTGAACAGCACGCAGGAAGCTGCAGAAATTGTATGGAATCGTAACGGTTGAACAATTAAGGGCAGCTGTCTAAAAATTTCTTATCAGTCCAATTAGTTACATATACCTCAGACATGTGCAAAAGGTATATATTTCTTTTTATAACCGTAGCAAAATTAAGCGTGGAAAACACAGAAATAAAAACTATTTTTATTTTAGCGGCATATCAGGATTATTTGATGCATTATCGTACACACATTCATTAATTAAAATTAAGAAACTTTCACAACTATTCATTCGAATATATAAAACGTTGGTGTAATCAGTAAACTATAACAAACACTATTTCAGGAGAAAATATTTTTCATAGAGATAAACGATTCACAAAGATATTTTTTGTATGTTTTATTTTTTTGAACATGATAGTATACGTGGCTCTTTAATTTACCTAGACAGGTGTATTTGTCAAATCCTAAATGGTGATTAATAATTCATTAGTTGTCAGTTGAGATAAGGACTGACAATATTAACTGTTTTCTTTATTTCCTGTAGAGCAGTGAAATATACAACAGGATATGGGTATTTTCTTGAGAATTAACATCTGTAAACTTCATTTAGCTTTCTATGTTATTTTTTTGTCATTATTTTTTTAGTGTGAGTATGTTAATAAACATGAAAAGTTGCAAAACTTCATGACAAACCAGATTCCTTTCAAGAATTTTGCGTATTAATTTTATAAAATTGTCTTACATTTTAACCCTTAAACTCCCATGAGTGATCAAGAAAGGATTGCTCCTAACAATATAAGTACAATATCAAGCAAACAAATGGCGAGAGTAAAGAAAAATAAACAATAGGGGATCATAAGTTAATCCAATCATAAATTCTCCAAACTAACACTATAAGAATTAATTGACAGACAGTAAGGAGAATTACCGATGAGATCCTGGGAGTGAAAGGGTTCATGGGAAAATCTGTTGGATGTAAACCCCTAATATTGACTAGAGTCTAATATCTCATTACAATATCACCCCTAAATCACACATCAAGGTTAGGAGAATAAAAGAAATGATCAAAAACTAAAGGAACTCTTGATTGTTAATCATATTCTTCTTGTCAGAAAATTCTTAGAAAATTTATAGAGAACAGTTCAGAAAATATGCATACTGCAGATGTGATGGTGTAAAGGGTTATTAATGACTATCTTATTTTCATATCCTAGATGTTAATGATTCTACAACAAATAAATCAACAAAGACGTCAAGTAAATCTAGTGAGTCATCAAATTCTTCAATAATCAAGTGGATTGCTTTTGCAAGCATCATCCTAATCCTGGTATCACTTGTTGCGATATATTTATTCGGAAAAAATCAAGAGGACTCAAATTTAAATCAGAACTCAAGGCAAACCTTCAAAACAGAGACAGGATCACCTGAGAAGACAAAAAAGAAAACCAAAAAAACAAAACCATCAGATTCAAATGAGGCCATAACCAACAGCTACGATAAATCCATCGTGAAAGAACTTGACAAGGCACAGAGTATTTTAGACAAGAGTAACATAGCAGATGCCTTACAAAAGTTTGAAGCTCTGACAAAGAAATATCCCAAGAGTCCAAGAGCTATGTATGGAAAGGCACAATCCTTAGATAAGTTGTCAGAACTAAGGCAAAGCAATGATATTCTTCAACAAAGCATAGAGGCTTATGGAAAAACAGCGGACATGCTGAACTGCCCCATGGAACTGAAACACAGAGCAGTGCGACGTCAGGCTGATAGGCTTAGTTTCCTGGGCAGGTCTAGTCAGGCAGCAAATGTGTTAAGGAGCCTGTTGAATGAGTTCCCAGGTGACATCAAGGTTATGAATGAATTGGGTGTGCAGTATTTGATGACAGGAAAGAACAGGGATGCAGAAAATATCTACAAACAGGTGAGTTTGGGAGTTAGTAGTGTTTTTGGATGAGGATGTTGTTGAAAACCTCCCACAAGAACCTCCAAACACAGTCAGTGTCATTATGATAATATCATTCTTAATTAGTTATGGAGACACCAGTAATTGTAATCTGGTTCCTGGAGCATTCCCCTCCTTTAACCCCTTCACTCCCAAGATCTCATCAGTAATTCTCCTTACTGTCTGCCATACAATTCTTATGATGTTAGTTTGGAGAATTTGATATCAGATCAACAAATAATCATGTATTTGATATTTTCTTTATTCTCATCACTTGTCTGCCTGACTGGTATTGATATTGTAAGGAGAAATTCTGTCTTGATCACCCATGGGAGTTAAAGGGTTAATCAACTTATTGCTAAGATTAGGGAATTTATCAGCCTGTTTGATTAATAGTCTCTGATGGAAAGTTTTCATTTTTTTTCTTTCTCAGGTGATAAATATGGATCCAAGAAATGGCTTTGCCCAGTCACACTTGGGCTTTATTCTTAAAACTGATCACTTGCGGTATATTGAAGCTATCCCTCTGCTACGTAATGGGATCTCGAGTGGTGAAGCAGGTGCTGATGATGGAAGATTTTATTTTCATCTGGGGGATGCTTTTACTAGAATTGGAAGACCAGATGAGGTGAGAAACCTTGTTCTAACCAAGTGCTGGGTCACACTATGCCAAAACTACCTTAAGTTTTGTGTAAAAAATTTAGTTCTTTCTTTCCCAGATGACTGAAGATAGTTTTTGTGGCAGAAAAAGTTGATTTGTTTGTCCATAGAATCTAATTTCCTTTTTTAGCCAACTGATGGTGCATTGATAATCGCATGCAGTCCAAAGTATGTAAAGAAACAGGATGTTGATTGATTTCTCTTGCACAGGCTTACAAAGTATATGAGGAAGCTGCAGGAAAAGGAATATTCATGTCTGCTTTGCAACGTTCTTTGTACAATGCAGATACACCACTGACCGCACAACCGTGGTGGACACCAGAAGAAACTGGATATGAAAGAGCCATTAGGTACAGATATTAACCCTTTCATTCTCAAGATCTGACTGTTAACTCTTCCCTCTAGTTGCTACACATTTCCTTCTAAACAAGTTACAAGAATTTGGTGTTAGATCTCTGGATAACAACTTCTACTTGATTAGTTTGAGTATTCTCATTACCTGTTTGCTGGATTATGTATGGATATTATAGGGAGAAATTATGTGTTAATCACTTCTGAGAATGAAAGAGTTGATTTACAACCTTTATGAGCAGTTTGATTGGTGACGGTGAAAACTACTCTATGGCTGGACTATGACAGCAGTTTGATTGGTGATGGTGAAAACTACTCTATGGCTGGACTATGACTGCAGTTTGATTGATGATAGTGAAAACTACTCTACGGCTGGACTATGACAGCAGTTTGATTGATGATAGTGAAAACTACTCTATGGCTGGACTATGACACAGCATTTTGCCTCGGCCAAGCAAAATATCACATACCCCTGAGTATTTTCAAGGAAAGGCATTGAGCATCACACTTTGATTCTCTCTTCAATTCTTCAATTCTTTATGGCTGATGTCCAAAAATTCAGCTCAACAAAAATCACTGACTCACAAACCCCTTAACCAGTTGAGGCCCAGAAGTGATTAACATGTAATTTCTCCCCATAGTATCCATACATTATCTAGCAAACAGGTAGTGAGAATACTCAAACTTATCAGATACAAGATATTATCTTGATGGAACACCAAATTCTCATAACCAATTTACAAAAAAATGTGTAGCAGCTAGAGGAGAGAATTAACAATCAGATGATGGAGGTAAAGGGTTACTTAACCTACCTTTTTTGACTTGCATATGATAATCAACCAGGGCCCAATTGTATAAAGGTCAGATAACGCTATCCATCAGATAAATTGCTATCTTGCAGATAACTGGTGGCAAAACATATAGCATTATCTACTGGATAGAATTTTATCGAGTGGATAGTGTTATTCAACCTTTGAAGAAATGGGGCCATTTCCATCTTCTTCACACTTCTTTAACCTTTTAACTCCCATGAGTGACCAAGACAGAATTTCTCCTGACCACATCTATACAATATCATGCAGAAAAGTGAGGAGAATAAATAAAAATATCAATTATTAGATTACTAATTGATCCAATACCAAATTCTCCAAACCAACATAATAAGAATCACTTGGCAGACAGTAAGGAGAATTACCAATGATATCTTGGGGTTTGTCATTTATGAAACAAGGAAACTTGAAGCCAACTGGGAGGTCATCAAAGATGAAGGAATATCATTGCTAGACCAAAAGTCAGGAGGGTTTATACCAGAAGAAGAAAATCTCAGAGAACAAGGAGACTGGAAACAGTTCACTTTATACCAACGTGGCCGAAAGAACGCCGCAGCTTGTCAAAAGACACCACAGACTTGTGCTATCATTGATACCATCAAAGATGCCACCAGCTGTAAGAGAGGACAGGTATGTTTGGAACAACTTGGCGGTGAGGATCAAGAGGAGATCATGTTGTCTACTCACAATTTGAATCATTATTTGTCTCAAAAATAAAGCAAAAATGGTATGGAAAAAGTCATAAATTTTGTACATCACAATGTGAACCAAACCAGGGGAATGTTCTTATTTTGCCACTAGTAGTGTGTGATCATCAATTTTTGTTGAAGATAAGTTTATTTTAGGGATTTGTGCTTCGCTGTTTTTTGTTGCTTAGATCAAGTATTCTGTGATGCTACCTGGCACCCATGTCTGGCCCCACACAGGTCCTACAAACTGCAGACTACGCCTTCATCTTGGACTTGTTATTCCCAAAAATGTGGCTATAAGAGTTGGACGGGAAACAAGGTAATAATGATGATAATTTGTTGTGTTTGCTTACTTGTTTGAGCTGGCTGGCTCACCGACTGGGTGGCTGAATGGCTAACCGACCCACTTACCAAATTGACCATCAAACCCACTTACTGGCTGACTGAATGAATGACCAAATGACTGATGGACTGACTGAATGACTGATGGACAGACTGTCTGACTGTCGCACTGATTGACTGACCCAATGACTGACTGAATGGCAGAATGACTGACTGATTGAATGACTTATGACTGACTTACTGATTGAATCGTTGACTGAATAAATGACAAAATGAATGACTCTTTGACTGACTGACTCACGGAGTGAGTGATTGAGTGAGTGATTGATTGACTGACTGAATGACTGAATGACTGAGTGACTGACAAGAGTGACTGAGTACTGACTGAATGATTGCGTGACTGATACAATGACTGACCAGGAGAAATGAGTGATATACTGAAGGAGTATGCATTTTCTCATGTTTATCTTCCTTGTTCTTACAGAACTTGGGAAGAAGGCAAAGCACTAATCATTGACGACTCTTTTGACCATGAAGTTTGGCACAATGGTTCAACTTTTCGACTCATTCTTATTGTCGACTTTTGGCATCCAGACTTGACACCTCAACAAAGAGCTTCGTTATCTCCCATTTAAGACCAATTTTTAAACATTTTTTAAGGTTGGCACATGAAGATTTGCTACAGTCTCAATGAGGAACTGTTTACAAGGGTTTATGGGGAACAAAGATGAACACCTTAACCCTGTGACTCCCATTGGTGACCAAAAAAGAATTTCTCCTTACTCTATCAAGACAAAGTCAGGCAGACAAGTGACAGGAGTAAAGAAAATTATGTTAGTTGATCATAAGTTGATCTGATATCAAATTCTTCAAATTCACATCACAAGAATTGTATGGTAAACAGTAAAGATAATTATTGATAAAGATTAATTAATTTAATTTAATTAATTATTAATTAATTAATTGATAATTATTATTATAATTAATTAATTATTATTAATTAATTAATTAAATTATTAGTAAAGATAATTATTTATGAGATTTTGGTAGTGAAAGGGTTTAAGTGGTAAACACGTTAAGTCTCCCTACAACATCAGTTCAGTATCTGGCCTGTTCCAGCTGCTCAGTTGCTAAAACAAAGCACAATAGGATCAATATCAGTATCTGGGCAACTGCCCACCAACCCCTCCCCTAACCCAACCTTAACCCTAATTTGCTATCAATCGACTGTTGTTGAGTTAGGGGAGGGGTAGGTGGGCAGTTGCCCAGATACTGATATTGATCCAGGCAATAATAAAAAACGCAATAGTAGTAGTAGAGGAGGAAACAAAGAGGGAGGTTTTGGTGGGGCTGCATAATGTTCTTTACCCAAGTATTCCTTGTGTTTTCACTTCTCTGCTACTATTACACCATTTGCTATTTTGCCTTGTTTTACAAACTGTAGGCCTAGAAAAGGCTCTTCATTATCTGTTAAACAGGTGACAGCTCAGCCTGATGATGGACAAGTACAAAAAAAATCAATCAAAAGGAGATTCATTTATTGATCCTGCTTTGCCTCTTTTACTGAGTTTTTCCTGCACTTGCTTCCCATTGAATTTATTGCTTTTTAACTCATTTTAGACATGGAAATAAAATTTTCACTTTTTTTCTTGTCCTCAATGAAAATAAAATTGTTAGAAAGTTATGTTATGTAGGCTTCTAGTAATTTGAAGCAAATTAGAAGCCTTTTCCATCATTTATCAGTTTTGTTGGAGATTAAGATATTTTAGCATGATTTTAGTAATATGTAATGATATATTTTGCATGTGGATTGTTCATATCAACAGGAACAATGTTGAAGGACAAGATTTAAATCTGTCAGAATGCACTGACCGCTAAAAAATCACAACAAACCCAGACTCAGCTTCAACAGTTGCTGGACATAAAAAAGTTTTGTGTCAAAGTGGTTTATTGTGTGTCCAAATTAAATGTAAGCTTTGTAATTAAATGTGATTTTTATGAATTATTGTCCATTAAAAATGAATTTTCTAGTAATCACACCTTTATACTTGAACAGATTTTGTATGTTTATCAACTTGTTAAATTCCACAACTTTCCAAAACCTTTTCAAGGACCTTACTGTATCTCTCATGTGCAGTATGATCAATCAGTTTAGCAGGCAGTATTTCACTGTATGGCCTGCCAAATTCAGAAGTTTGTTTAAATTAGAATCTTCTTCTTTTTGAACCTAGAGATGTAGGATACCCTACTCTATTACTTTTGCCTTTTCCCCTTTCAGAAGGCTTTCAATATACATTTTGATGTGAGAGGATACATGTGTTGACGTCCATACTTTAATTGATAAATTTTGAAAGTTTTAGTCTTTTTTTTCCTTTGTTATTGTTGCTGTTTTTTTTTACTTTTTTGCATGTAATTTTATTTCTGTACTGATTTTCATTGTTTGTGCATATGCATGCTCTCCTAGTCATTTCCTCTGTTCAGTCAAACTTGTTATTGAAAACTCTATTTTAATGTTTGTTTCCCTCCCACCTCAGCTTTGCTATTTTGTGAGTAGGAATTGTTAGATATGTATTTTGATTGCTAAAATAAAAAGATTTTGTTTGTTTGTTGTGTTTTGTTTGTTTGTTCTGATACCGCAAACCAATCAAAACTTTACTCAATTGTTTAGGGAAAGTTTATTGCAGACTGTTTTGTCCTTGTTACTTTAGTTCAAAAGATAGCAGGTATTTGTACAGCAATTATCACAGCTAGTTATCTGCTACAAAGCAACATGGTGATCATAAGAATCACAGACTGATTGAAAGTTCTTGGAACAAATTTCATGCTTGTGGTTCTTATTTCAAGTCCCTTTAAAAACTGCATCACGCTTCCTGACACAAACACACCTACTATGATTCTTAGGGCATGTACAATGTTTAACAGTGACAGTTCTCAGCTTCTTTCTGCCAATTAACATCAAAACAAAGCTGAATTCAAAGACACTCTAAAATTTTTCCTTTTGTGTAATACTAATCCTTCACACCTAGTTTGTGCACCAGTAATCCTTTTCAACACAAAATGACCTAGATATTTGCTTTTGATTTTTGCTATCAAATTTTTAATTGAGTAAAAACATTGTAAAAGTAATTTCCTGGTTCAAATCCAGACAGTGATCTTTCCAGGCCTCTGTAAAACCAGGACCTTCTTTGTCCTGTTTCACTTTAAAACTACAACACTGCTGCACCACAACCTGCACGGCAAATGTTCATGTCCTGTACAAAACGCCAAGTATCAGTTTCTGGATCGTACACTTCAACACTGGAGAGCCTGTGTGCACCATCAAATCCACCTAACACAAAAATCTTGTTGTCATACACTGCCACCGATGGCCAAGCCCTTGGTGTGTTCAACGGCGCAACCGGCTGCCACTGATGTGTCTGTGTGTTGTATCTTTCTGCAAGATCAAAGTAATGATCTGTGCTTCTGTTTCGACCTCCAAGTGCATACAAGAAGTTGTTTAGAGCAACAAGGGACATGCCAGAGCGTGCTTTTTCAAGTTCTGTTACAAATGTCCATGTGTCTGTATCAGGGTCATAGCATTCAACACTTGCTCTGTCACTGTGAACACCTCGATCGTAGCCTCCAGCAATGTACAGCTTCCCTTTGATGAAAAAAGATATGTCAACCTTTTGACTTTCATGAGCGACAAAGACTTAATTTTCTCTTAGAGTATCAATACATTATTGAGAAGACAAAAATGAGAAAAATATGAACTAAGGGATTCCTAGATGATCTAATACCAAATTCTCTGAAATAACATCAAGAGAACTGTATGACAGACAGTACAGAGAATTACTTATGAGATTCTGATGACCCAAAAGTTCAGACCATAACATCTTACATAAAGCTGAGCATAGTTCAAATAATTCTGCCTATCTAATGTGACAAGCAGATTTGAAATCAAATTTGAAAAAAATAATTGACAAGTTATGTAACACCTTGGAATCTCAAAAAGTGGTTTGAGAAAAATTTTTTAAATACTTTCCATGGCAGAGATAGCAGTCAATAATTTCTGGAGTATAGTTCTTTCTCAACCTTTAAAATTCCAGGAGTCACCAACAATTCATTCCTCCTTGTGGTAATAATGCTGAGTTGTTTAAGACAATCACAAGAATTAAGGAAATGATCATTAAGCTAAGAAGCACTGTGTGTTAAACAATTCTCCTTGTCCGTGCCAAGGTAAATGTATAGAGAAGAGTAAGGAGAATATTTATACTGATGTTAGGGTGTAAAGAATTAGGGACGAAAAAGTTGTACACAAACCATCACAAACAGCAACTCCTGCTCCAGATCTCTTCCTTCGCATACACTGCACTGTACTCCAGTGATCCGTCTTTGGGTCATATCTTTCAACATAGTTATAACTGCATGTTCTGTCTTCACCTCCCAGGGCATAAACGTAACCATTTAAAGCTGTCACTGCAATAAATGACCTCTGAATGGCAATATCAGCCAGCGAAATCCACTGATTGACTGCTGGATCATAGCACTCAGCATGTCGCACGTACATGGTGTCATCATGAGGAGCACTAACTGCACACTCGCCACCTACTACATAAAGAAGTCCATTGAGGCTACAAGCTCCAACTGCTGTTCTGGGATATTTCATGTTTTGCAGCATAATCCATTGGTTTGTTAATGTATCGTATCTCTCTAAACTTGAAAGCTGGCAATCAATACCATTTCGTCCGCCTATGACATAGACAGCTTGCGGCTGAGCTCGAGGCAGTGTCATATACCGAGGCAAATTACGAGCGCTCTCGTTAAGAACTTTAGCCAATAGGAGCTGACAATCAGCATTGTTCTTGATAATTTTAGATGGAAACACTCGGGCTTCGAGAAATTCGAGAGTTAACAAAGGAAGCCTAACGTGACTTAGAAGCTCAACCGCATAATCCTTTCGTCGACAGAAATCGTTTAAAATCCACGCCTCCACAGCTTCGAACACTTGGTTCTCAGAACGTACCTGAAGAAGGTCTTCGCGAAGAAGACTCCTCAAGGCTTGTTTTGGCATTTGTAAGAATTCCTCACCCTTCGCTACATCCAAGAAGTGTTGGCGTACGAAACGATAGGCAGCTTCTTCGAGTTCTGAACACGAATACAGATCTGCAAATGCTCGGATACCGAGACAGTTCGTAGCATCTAGGTGTGTCTGAAGAAAACCACAACAAACTGTTCTTAAGCTCTGCAGGTTTAACAACGAAGCAGCCGATAAAAGTGCTTGCACGTTCTCCACAGTGACATCGATGGCTCCAGTATATGCAAAATCGAGTAATCCGTCCATGACACTCGCTTCAACGCCTTGTAGTTTAATGTCTTTCATGCCACTTTCCAACATACCATTTGTAAACATGGCTCGTAAGTAAGAACTGGCTCCAGCAAGGACAATTCTGTGCGCGGGAAATTGGCGACCATCGACATGGAGAACCACGTCACATAATTCACCTTTTCTTCGCAAATCGTTCATAGTTTTCAATGCATCGTTGGAATGCAGAGGGATATTGAACCTTCGATGCGCCGCCATGGCGTGGTTTGACAGGTTCTCAATTTTCTTGGTAAGATTTTCACGGCCCCAACATCATTTCACTTTCGTTGTTTTCCTCGATTCCCCTTTCGTAATGTCCAAAATAAGGGGACATCTGATTGGTTAGTTCGCGTAATGTGCCAAAATAAAAGCGTAATTGATTGGTTCGTAATCAAGTAAATTATACCTTACCGCTGTACTAGCATTAATATCGTGGACTCGGGTGTTAGAACAGAAACCCTTCCAACCAAATCACGCTACGATGTTTTTTACAACGAGATTTTCATCTATTTAAGTTTTATTTTTTCAAAACATGATTTACTTCGAAAAAAAAGATAAACCATTATTTAAAGGGTCAAATTAAAAAAAAATTGAAAAACAAATTTTTTGAATGAGTTTCTATTTTATCAGTGGGCTTCAGTAGGAATACTAAGCGATATTAGATGGAACAAGAATGTTCCCATTTTACTTTTTCAACCGGGCGGAAGGAGGCGCGAGGCGAACGCGAAACGTGGGTGACACACGAGTGTCCGCGCGAGGACCAAAATTACGCTAGTCATGTAGACTAAAGGCCGTGGGGAACAACAAGGAACAGAATTAAAACCTACCCCTCCCCTAACTCAACAACATTAGGCCGAGACAACTTAGGGTTGATATTGCTAGGGGAAGGGTAGGTACGCATAGGTGCGTAGTTACTCAAATACTGACATCGATCATAAAGATTTCTCAAGTTTATGCCAAAAATCGTTTTTTTTTTTTTTAATCTATTTATCCTAATTAGAATTATTCATTTTAAATAGATGATTTTAATCTCAGTTTTTACCAGAAAATAATTCATACTGTTTCTATTTTTGATGTGTATTTGCTGTAATGTTATTTAGCTTTGAGTCAGATGATGTTTTAAAGTAAGTCCAATCTAAGAGTTTTATACTTTCTTGTATAGCTTGATTGATTTAATTTTCGATTTCTAATTTGAGGGTCTCAAGCTTATTAGTTTCTTCTTGAGTTATGAACTCTTTAACTCCCAAGATCTGATTGTTAAATCTCCCCTCTAGCTGCTACACATTTCCTTAAAGTAATATAATATTTCCATTCCTTTTCCCGAAGTGTTAACAATTGAGTTGAAAACGTAAATTGGCCACCGTAAAGGGTAAAAAAGCTTTTCGAGCGTTTCGAGCGTTAGCCCTTCGTCAGAGCGATTGGAGGAATTGTGGGTTGTGTGTGGGTTTATACGCAGAAAGTGGAGCTACGCTGTTGGTGGGAATATGGTGACGAGAAAACAGGAATAAATTAGTTGAATGAAAAGCGCTCGTTGATACCGTGGGGATTAAGAGTGCCGATTTGGAAGATAAATTTTTGTTCTATTGTTCTGCGGCTTTCCGAACTGCCTAGATGTAAGGAAAGGCCGTAAACTGCCATATCTTGTTTGAATGATTAGGGAGATTAAAGTGTCTAGCGACTGGTTTGGATGCGTCCTTGTCATTTCTTTCCACGACGCGAAGGTGTTCTCGGAATCGGTCACCTAGTCGTCTTCCTGTTTCGCCAATGTATAACTTATTGCAATAGGTGCAAGTAAATGACATTGGCGGAGGTACATGTTAAGTGATCAGTGATCTTAATGGATCTCTTGGGTCCCGATATTTTCTCTACGTTATGAATGAAAGGACAATTTTGCATCGTGAGCGAGCGCATTTGAAAGTTCCAGATTGGTCATTGGTTTGAAATGAACTTCTGACCAAAACGTTGCCTATGTTTTTGTCACGTTTCAATGAAATAAGTGGGGGTTGCGAAAAGATAGTGCCAGTCTCTGAATCGTTTTGGAGTAATTTAAAGTTTTTTAGAATGATAGATTTAACCGCGTGGTTGTGAGGGTGAAATGTAAGAGTGAATGGAATGCGTTCAGTGTTTTCCTTCTTAGCCATTCGTAGTGCTGACTGTCGATCAATTTGTTGGGCGCGGTGGTGGCCCGCTTGAACGACAGAAACAGGATAGCCACGTTTATCAAAAAACTGGCACATTGCCTCTGATTTTTCGGAGTAACTATGTGAATCTGTAGGTTTGTAGTAAACACTAGTGCATAAACTACAAACCTACAGATTCACATAGTTACTTGTTTGTAGTTTATGCATTAGTGTTTACTACAAACCTACAGATTCACATAGTTACTTGTTGTATTCATCTTCACATCCACCACACGTCAAGAACTCCATAACTTTTTCACAGTTTCCCAGACTTCGTCGTTTATGTAGTGACGACTCTGATTTTTCCGAAAAGAGTGTGATGTTAAGTCCGTCAATATAAAAAAACTTCTACAATTTCTACCTGATAATTTAACTTGATCGGTTTAAGATAAGTTTACCTGTTTGGTGGATAAAGTATGGATATTTTACGGAGAAGATACACGTTCATCAACTGTTACTTTATAAGTTCAATTAAGATCTTACAATACCTTGCTTATGTAGTTTGAAAGAGATCTACGGACAAACTGAAAAACTTTACCAGGAAAGTGTTATAAAGTAACAAAGATTATTCTGAGTATACAGAATGGAAAAATATAAACATAAATATGAAGAACAAAAGACAACTTTTCAGTGCGCCCCACATACGTTCTATCACAGGAGGCCAACGGTAACCATGTACGTGTCGATCAACTATGATAACAGATGAGCATTCATTTCTGAATCCTTTACATCGCTTAAATTTGCCGTCTTAAGGCTCAGAAACAGGTAACAGTAAGTCTACAGTGTTGTCAAGTGAAACTATTAGGCGCACTTTGTTACAAAAGCATGGAGATTTTCGATATTCCATCGCCTAGCAAAACCCTTCCTTCGAGTCTCGAATAATACCCCTGCAAAAACCATACTGGTGGCCAGGACTTTAAGAATATAACTAATATAACTCCAAAAAACTTAACTTGGCCAAACTGTTTTGATACAACCTCAGAACCAAACAGACGGTGAAAAAAAAAAAAACTTGAAGGCAGGAGAATCAAAAGAGCGAATTTTAATTACATTTCATTTCAAAATTCTAATGTAAATGGTTTTTCTGGAGCCTGGGCGGCCTGCGGTGTCTTTCAAAGAAGGTGGTAATTCTCTTGCGTTTGCTGTTTTGTTTAGCAAATGCGGATGATAATTTCTACGCAGGCAAACATTACCCATCGTAAAATTTCTCTCTTAAATATCAGTAATAAAATATCAGAAAAATATCAATTAGGGGATTATTAGTTGATCCAATTCCAAATTCTCCGAACTAACATTATTAGGGTTGCTTGAAAGACGGCTAAGGAGAATTGTTAATGAGATCTTGTGAGTAACGGGATTAAATTTGTGACGTATCTCCCGGTGAGAAAGGACCGCTGAGCGAGAAACTGTTTCTTTTCAAATTCTTCTGACATTGTTATGAATATATACAACACAGATTTCTGCCAATATGTTTTCGTTGCTTAGTGAGCCGGCAAGTGTGTCACTCTATTATAGACCAATGATCATCACAGTTGTATGAAGAACTGTAGTAAATAAATGCACCCGTGCAAGCTTTGCTGCTTAGATAAGAATTACTGCCGGCGTGGAAACGTTTTTCGTAAGTTATTTGCATTTTCATTATCATCTGATGATTTTTTTTTTATACATGAAAGTCAATTCAAGTTTGAAGCGCTCTAATTCATTACTATGTCTTAATCTACTACCTCGTTATCCAGGTTCCTACTCAATTGTAATTCATATGCCTTCTCTTTGTCCGCAAATATGGCCTCAAGTGCTGAAGGAATTTTTTTAAGTGTTGTCGAGTCAGATTATGGCTCGATATGTTTCTGTACTCGAAACAACATTCGGGACACGCAGGCGGGTTGTTTTCTTTAAATTTTCACGCTGGTCTTACACGTGGCTCTGTGCCTGGATGTTCATATAATTGATCAGGGTTTCTTTTGAGGGAAGATCATTTTTTATTCCGGTTAAGCCTGTTGCATATAAGTTCACGACAAAGCAAATGCAGAGAAATGTGTTGGGGAAAACTTAACAAGTCTTATCGACGTAAAGAACTATTTAAAAGTTAGAATTTTTATGCTAGAAAAAATTTAGAATTTAGTTACATAAAAATTCAAACTGAGCCTTTGCATATGTTAATTCTTGTGGTATGTCCACCATAAGTATTCAATTCTTATTAGAATTTGAATGTATGCTAGGCTACGAAGAACAAAAAAACTCTTCTATCAAAATATAGTTACTGTTGCACCTCGTTAACTGAAAATAATTCGACTCGACCCTAAGCTAACTCCATCGAAATCTCCATGAGGAGGAATTTTCAATAATTCAGTTTCAGCTTTTCAAATCTCCTTTTACTAGAAGTGCTTTTCGTTTCCCAAGGCAGCTCAATCAAGCAAGGTAACACTGCAAATTATTTTGTCGTGGAAACAGAGAGTTCATCGGAAAAATGTGAACCGTTATATTCATAATCATAAGAGCATTTTTTGTCATAATGTTACAACCATACCCACGCACAATCAGTGCTTTCGACTTTTTTTTAAAAAGTTGTAAACAATATACAAGCGATAGCAACAAAACCGCTTTCTTTAAAATTTTTACCAGTTCAAAGCAGTGGAATTCTCGAAGGGCTGACAAATACGTTTATATTATAGTAAAAGAAATTAACGACCTAAAACTGAAATAGCCGAAAGAATCAGCTGACAATACCGCAGACGGCTATCAGCGTTCACATTTTCATGGTAAGGAATCATTGAAAGATCTGGAATTGATACTGGAATTTGTGAGGTGAGTCTTGTCTCGCCCTGTTTAAATATTAGACTTGTGTATGTGTAAGGAAGTCGCCTTTGTTCCATTATTTCACTTCAAACAGAAATGCAGGAAATTCCCAGTTCGAAACACTTACTTCGGTGATTTCCTCTTGGCCAACGTGGATTAGGTTAGGAAATTATTCTTAAGTGTTTTAAGACCTGAATTGTTTCAGACCTTGGTAGGTTTTATTTTCAAAGTCACATGTTGAAAATAATGGGCTAAAGGATAGCACGTTTCTGTTTCCTCGACTGAAAAAGAAGCGTGGATCTTGTCATTTCCGCTTTCGGTCAA